CGCAGTCCCGCCATAAGTCGCTGATCACTGTCATAAATCGCTGATCACCGCCATAAGTTGCTGATTGCCGCCATTATTAGTATAATAAAAAAAAAATCCCAGTATCTTTCCCGCCATTTGTAGATGCTATAACTTTCACGTAAACCAATGAATTTACACGTATTGGGATTTTTTTTAAGCAAAGGACACGTCGCAGAATACATTTTGGCAGAAATTTATGACTAAATTTGATTTTTACATTTTTTTTACTGGACATGTTTTATAGCAAAAAGTCCAAAATATTGTTTTTTTTTCAAAATTGTCAGGCTTTTTTTTTTTATAGCGCAAAAAATAAAAAATGCACAAGCGATCATGACCGTGCAATTGCCTGTTAAACTAGCGCAGCGCTGTATAGCAAACAAATGGCATAAATTGCAGTATCTATGCCATAGTTTGTAGATGCTATAACTTTCACACAAAGCAATCAATATACACGTATTGGGATTTTTTACCAAAAACATGTAGCAGAATACATTTTGGCCTAAATTTATAACTAAGTTTGAGTTTACTATATATTTTTTATAGCTGCAAGTAAAAAATTTCTAATTTTTGGTCTTTTTTTGTTTATAGCGTGAAAATTAAAAAGCGCACAGGTGATCAAATACCACAGAAAGAAAGCTCTATTTGTGTGAAAAAAAGGATGTAAATTTTGTTTGCATGACCGTGCAATTATCAGTTGAATTGAGTGCAGCGCCGAGTAGCAAAAAGAGGCCTGGTCAGGAAGGGGGGGGGTAAATCCTCAGGAGGGCAAGTGGTTAAGAACAGTGACAAATATCTAATTAGCATATTAAATGTTTTCTATTATACTTAAGACCTGGGATTTTAACACCGTGGTGTAATATTCAGGCTTTATAATTATGGAACACCAGATTTTAATAAATAGGTTGATTTAATTATTTAAATGTTAACTCTACGGCTATTTTTTTTTTTTTTTTTGCTGTAGGTACACCAGAAATTATTAAAACATTTGTCAAGGCCTTCCTCCTGTATCTTTCAGTTATTTCAGTAAAAATCAAGACTAGAATATTCTATTGGAGGAAGTATATTCCAAGATTATTTTAAATGTTCAGACTTAAAAACAAGATAAATGGGAGATTCTCAGCATTCTTGGTACCCTCTTCCACCTATATGTTGCTGAATGTAGACTGAAATGCCCAGAGGTGGCCAGAGCAGGAAAACAAAATAAGAAAAACGTGATTATAGCTTGTGAATTTTGATGCTCTGAGCATTCCCCTAAACTTGACCTACAAGTGCCATTTATTTATTTCAGGTATTTATATAGCACCAAACATATACACAGCACTTTTACATACTGTAAATTCAGTCCCTGCCCTACTGAGGCTACAACCTAAAAACCCTATCTCATACATGCATACATACATGCACACACATACTAGGGCAAACATGTAAACTTCACACAGATAGTGTCCTGACCTTGATTTAACTAGGGACCTCAGTACTGCAATCACTAAGCCACTGTGTTGCCCATTATTGTAAATTTATCTATAACAAACACTTATATAGCAACATCAATTTATATACTATATATATATATATATATATATATATATATTGTACATTCATCAGTCCCTACCCTCAAGGAGTGTACAATCTAAGGTCCCTAACTCACATTCATACATACACATACTAGGGCCAATTTACCTACCAGCATGTCTTTGGGAGGAAACCGGAGTACCCAGCATAAACCCACACAGGCACAGGGAGAACATTCAAACTCCAGGCAGTTGATGCCATGGTTGGGATTTGAACCAACAAGCTGCTAATTGGAAGGGCTAATCACTTAGCACTGTGTATGCAGCCATATCCCCCAGAAAGAAGCCTGCACTACTGTTTATAGTGAATTGTGTGGTCACATGGTACAAAGCTATGTGATTTTATGTGTATCAGGTAAAAATGGGGCCAACAGTAGTGTTTAGTTCCCTAACAGTCAACAACTGTCAACTGTCTCATATTATACATAATGAATCATTTCAAAAGTGTGTTTCTGTAATCACTGTACAGATCAGTAAGCACAAAAGGATTACATGATTTGATAAAAATAGTACTGCTTTGATGTCTAGACCTAAATAGTCTGAGCTCTCAGTTCTGGTGTTGCTAAGTGCAGAGCTGGAAAGACCTGTGTCTCCTTTCATGACATTGCTACATGGCAAAATTAAGCTATGCACTGAGTGACAGAAGGATTTAATTTCAGCTATATTATTGTATTTCCCTGAATGGGTTGACTATGTATATTTTTTTCAGTGAACTGTGCTGTCTGGTACATTATGCTAAGGGTTTGAAGGCAGATTTTACTTGTGTGGGTGGTGGAATCCAGAATCATTTGGATAATATGAAATGTAAAGGATACTGGCATGATGAATGTCTCTAAAACAAAGATGTATGATCGTAACTGTTTTGTTTGTATTTTAAAGAACGCTAAGTGGTGATCTGTAGTAATTGAAAACATGATTTTTAGATTAAATTGTTTCTGAATATAGTGCTTTTTCAAGCCTTACATCATACGCAAGTATTTTTGAAAATGGATTGAGAATTTCTGCCAAGTTGATGTTAGGATGGAAAGATCTGGGCAAGGTTTAGGTCAGACATGGCATTTGACAACTCTCATTTACTTATCATAGTTGGCTTACGTTGCCTAAAAAACACATCCCTAAATTGCTGCAAAGAACACTTTGTGCAGTCTGCTGCTTTAGAAATATGACATATTCCCATGTGATGTATGTTGTATGACATCAGATATTATTGTTCTGTTAAGAGTCCTAGGGATTTGTTTACCTGCAATTGACATGTGTTGCAGTTCAGGTATTTTGTTAGAAAAGGCCTTGGCAACCTTCTTTTGATTAAATAAAGGTCAGTCCATCCAAAACTGTACGGCCTAGTAGGCTAGTTATTTTTCTGTTATTTGAGGTTTACACAGTAAGGCCTCATGCCAACACCCACTTTTGTGGGTGTCAAGCATTTTTTTTCTTATTTCCAAACACCCCTCTATGTTAGCCTATGTGTCCATGCATAGATAGACTTCCAGCAACATTTAATGGGAAGTGAGCTTAGAGGCAGGAAAAAAGCCACTGCCAATGTGTCCGGGAGCAGCAGCGTTTTGGCAAAGAAAATGCTTGATGCTTATAAACGTGTGTAGGCGAATCAAGATGTGTGTTAATTTAGTGATTGAGAGTTATTTATTTCAATTGCCAGAATTAACTCCCAAGTGCTTGACATCTGTAATTACACTCAAATGCTTGTAAAAGGGTTAGATACTTTTACAAGTGTCAGGCATTTTTTCTGCAAAAAACACTGCTGCCAGGAGAAAAAGCTCCTCGGAGAGTTTTCAAAACGTTCAGTGTGCATGAGGCCTATGGAAAAAATGTGTGAAATTGTTGACCCAAAATTAAAAATAAGAATGTATTTTGTGTTTTTTTATTCACTTTTGAGTATTATATTGTTATATTTTAATAATCTCATATAACAATAAACTAAACAAAAATTACAGGAAACGAACAGAATTTTTTTACTTGTTTTGTTTTAACCAGTTCCACGCTGCCCTATAGCCTGCTACAGGGCGGCACGAGTGCGCAAAATCATGTGTATATATATATATACACTTTATTTTGCAGTTCTGGGTAGGGGGCCATTTGTGGCCTTGGCTGTAAATCACCGGGTCCCGGCTGGTGATTTCTTGCCGGGCTCCCTACCCGCACCGCCATTTGCTGCCTCGGCTGTCAATCACCGGGTCCTGGCCAGTGATTACTCGTTGGCACCTGGTGGTCATCGAGTACCTCTGACGGGGGGAGAGACCTGTATGTAAGCAATACAGATCTCTTCCCTGTCAGCTCCTGCACACTGCTTTCTGCTTTGTATGGCTCTGCATAGCACACAGTTAACCTTTTTATCGCCCCAGATATTAACCCCTTTATGCCCAGTGCCATTAGTACAGTGTCAGTGCTTTTTATTATCACTGATCACTGTAGGTCGCTGATCGCCGCCATTACTAGTAAGAAAAAAAAATCCAGTATATATAGCGCCATTTATAAACGCTATAACTTTCACATAAACCAATTAATTTTGCACGTATTGGGATTTTTTTTTAGCATAGACATGTAGCAGAATACATTTTGGCCTAAATTTATAACAAAATTGATTTTTTTAATTTTTTTACTGGACATGTTTAATATCAAAAAGTAAAAAATATAGATTTTTTTATTTATAGCACAAAAAATAAAAAACACACAGGTGATCAAATACCACCGAAAGAAAGCTCTATTTGTGGAGAAAAATGGACTTAAATTTTATTTGGATGCAGCATTGCATGATCGCGCAATTGTCATTTAAAGTAACGTAATGCCGTATCACAAAAAATGGCCTGGTCAGGAAGGGGGGTAAATCCTCTGGTTAATATTTTTGAACACTTGCTACATGCTTTGTTTGTAAATACAATGTATGTGATCACCATGCTATCACCTGACCTGATGACCATTAATAGCTGTCTTGATAAATAAAAACAAGGTGAGCATGATTTACCATCAAAGCCACTGAAGATCCCCAGGTTCAGGAAGGACAGGGTGATGCTGATGTTTGAATCAATGCTTTCTGAATCACTGACCAAAAGTAAGAATAGCATTTGGTGAATTCTCATTACAAGTCAGTAGAGGTGCTGAAGCCAAACACAGCCAGGTGATTAGCATTTCTCATAGACCTGTGTTGGCCACACATACACATTTGCACCATCCAACCAAAATGATGAGTCTACATGAAAATGAGCAGGTAATAAGGAACACCTACAGTACTAAGTAGGTGTGTACGGTTTATGTGACTTTAGATCTTTTATAATTTTTTTAATAAGTTATAAAAAAAATAATTATTTTTGTGTTCTTTGGACAAATCTGTATTACTTGTGCTAAAATGTTCGATGCTACTTTATAATAATTCTAACTGTATTCATTTTTCAGTATGCCACTGAAGACACAAAGGCTCTCATTCCAGTGATAATAGTTAAGCAAGGTAAAGTTTGCAGTTTTTTGATTGGTCTTTAAGTTTAGGAATATATTAAGAAATGTAATAATAAATGTGTATGCAGTGAAAAACAATTTTGAAACCATGATGGTTCTGCTGCAAAAATGGAAAACACTTGGCAGGTTTTGGAAGAACTTTTACAAAGAGTGAACAGCTACATACAAGTTAAGGATTCAAATGGAGCAGTATTAGTATAAGTAATGTTTGAATTTGCATATTGTTATAATATAATATCATTTCTACAGTATACTTATATTCACAAACTGTTTGAAAGCTGATGAGGCAGGAACTACAGTTAGTGGAAAGTAAAATATATTAACCTGGAGATTGATGGGAGCTGGAGAGATACTAGGTCTTACCTGTCCTTGTGTGAAGGTTTTACAGGTACCACACCGCTATTAAGGACTACACTGGGGCATCTGTTTGGGCAAATTTTGCCCTTTTTTTGTCTGCTTTTAACCTCCTTAACATTTCTGCCTCTTCACTGCTCAGGAACAACCAAGATGTGTGTTTATTCACCAACCTATAACAGTTGGCCACTATACTTTTTTCATCTGGAACAAACAATAGCTTGGCATTTGCTACCCAATTTGATCTGAGGTATTCTTGGACTGGTGGCTTCCTCCCCAGTGCTCAGAAAATCTCCCATTGTGTATCCAATCGCTACTGATCTTCATGTTTATTTATTTTAGGTACTTATATAGCGCCATCAATTTACATAGCACTTTATATATATATATTGTACATTCACATCAGTCCCTAACCCTCAAGGGGCATAAAATCTAAGGTTCCCAATTTGAACAGGATCCAATGAGTACCCGGAGGAAACCCAAGCAGGCACAGGGAGAACATGCAAACTCCAGGCAGGTGGTGCCGTGGCTGGGATTTGAACTAGCGACCCTAGTACTGCCAGGTGGAAGTGCTAACCATTTAGCCACTGTGCTGCCCTCATGTATGTCAGGTGCTGCTATTGAACAGAGTGTTATCATCGACTGGCATTGTTGCTCAGTTTTTCCTCTTTCCCTGAAGAATTGGGTCACATCCCACAAAACGCATGGGATCTTTTGATTGATTATCTAGTTTTGTATTCAATTTTATGGAAAAGCATTTTTGGTTTCTAGTGGAATTGCCACCTTTCTTTTGGGTAGTCTATATGAATTTAGATATTTCCACTAATTACCAAAATTTTTTATACTTTTCATGTCTGTAATTGTTCCACCAGTTTGATGATGATCAATTCTTTTGATGATATCAATAGGGTTTTAGGACTCTTGCCCGTGACATTCTCACGTCCCGAGCCAGAGTCTTTACCCACTATTATCTCTTTATATTTTTGTTGACTCATTATGTATGTGCCTACATTGGCGTTTGTCTTGCTTACCACTTTGTGTATTTTTTTTTATAATGTCATAATAAAATATGCTCTATTTTATCCACTATTGTTTATAACTATGCATCTTTATACCCATGATGGTATGGTACCTTAAAAGCCCCATTATTTTCTTCTACTAGGGTTTATTTTCTTCATGAAAGTAAAATATAGTATAAAGTGATACCAACACAAAAATAATATCTACATACTGTATCTATATCCTACCAAGTGTATTACAGTTTGTTTAAAGCTGAACTACAAGCAAACAGCTATATAAGTAGATGAAATACAAGGAAGCTGTTTGCCTGCCAAAGAATTTATATTTCTGTTAATCCAGTCCTGAAATTAACACTGGCATTAGAAGAGACCTGATTTGTCTCTGCTGCAGATAAGTAACATTTATAGGTCTTATCCCTCACAGATCTTGTAATTTTACAGTAAAAAAAGAAGCAACAAGGCAGTGTGGATGAACACTGGGTTCCATGCTCCATATCTGGTGATCATGTACACCAATGCAGGATTCCTGGTCTTGCATTTTCTGAATTTATGGCTCTGTTATGGGTTCTAACACTCTTCCATCTCTGTCTTTTGCCCTTCTCTCATTGCTACCAGGAACTATCTCCTTGGCCAAGAAGGGCTTGCTGTGTTCCTTTCTAATTGCAGATAGAAATGTAAGCTCTGGACACTGGAGATCTGTGAATGCCCCCACAATTACAAAGTGGCTTACTGAACTTACATCGTGTGGAGGAACTGCTGGCACAACATCATGACACATTTTCTGTTTACATGGCCACCTGGAAAATCTGGATAGTCTTTTCAGACTACGCTAGGTTTTAAACTGTGTTCTCCTGACTTCAGGTCTCAGATGTACTGTTGTACAGGTGTACCCTTCCCTCATCAGAATCCCCTCTACCATTCCCCACCCATTCTTTCTTCTCTCTTCTTTTCTCACTTTCTTCCCTTCCCTATCCTGCTACTGTTATCACATTCTCTAGTCCATTCAACTTTCCACTCTAGTAATATATGCATGATAGGATACTGCTCGGTTCAGCATTTTCCAATCTTCTAAATTGGATTACATCAATATGCTCTCAATACTTTACACACTCCAAGACCTATAAGAGGATCTCTACAACAGACTAACTGTAGATCCTGGGGTTCTGCCGTGTGCACTCTCAATATGAGGCATGCTACTCAGGGTTTTTTTCTGTCCTCAACCAATGCCAAGATACTGTCTTCTTGAGAATATTATCTCTCTGCTGGATTGCATCTCTTCACCTTTGGCTGATTGCATTTATCTATTGTAATGGGAATGTTACTTTTATCTACATATACTGTGTTTCTTACCTGTATGTATTTAAATCTGGAAAAGAGTAAATCATTATTAAAAAAAGAGAAGCAACAGACTGATGAGCCTAACTCATTCTCTGTTTTGCTGTCCTATTGGCATGCTCCTTGTTAGCACATAAGCCCTGCAACCCAACAGGTTGCATCCTTGTCCTGCTTCTCCCTTTCCCAGTCTACGTTCTGTTGTATAGGAGCTGGCACCAGGTCAGGTCACAACAAATACATTACATTTATTAATTAATAGAGAGCTGCATTTTTGGGCCTTTTATTTCTGCCTGGAGTTCAAGTATAAATGTGACGAAAGGCACTGCTCACACTTCATGCGTAAAGCAGAAAAAAAGTCTATCTATTAAGTAGTCTTAAAATGTTGCCTGCCCTCTGCCTTTACTAATGCTGCACACCATTTGTAATAATTAGCAATTAACTTTTATATCTGTTTTCTCATAGTCACAGCTCTGAGTCCTAGGTGTCTGCTGTGGCTGATGGGAGGAGACATCGACAATGCCCAGAGCATTGCCATCAGTGGGGTGACAATCAACTCTGCAAATTCCTCACCATTTTCAGCACTCACAGCTGCTGCCAGGACCTAGAGCTGTGTGGTCATGTGGTACTAAACCATTGCCATAGTACAGGCAGCAAAGTGGCATTGCAGTCAGCACATCTGCCTGGAATTACTCGGGTCCTTGGTTTGAATCCCAGCCAGGCCATTATCTTCATGGAGTTTGCATGTTATCCCTATGTTTGCATAGGTTTCTTGGTACACTTTGAAGACATGCTTGGAGATTAATTGTCTCCTGCATAAATTGATCCTAGTATGACTATGCATGTGCAATAGGGTCTGCTATATAAATACCTGTAATAAATAGTTAGTCTCTTTAGTGTAATGCCACAAAAGCATGTTATCTGTGGCCTTTTGTAGCATTTGCAATGTCACTCCTAATAGCTGCATGGGCATTGAAATAATTGAAAAATCCCGGAGGTGTGTCTGTAAATTACCAGATGTTTGTCAACTGAAACTCATAACCGGCACACAATTACTCAAGATATATTATATTTAATTCAAATATATATAAGCCTGCATAAAATAACTGAATTAATGATGCGATTACTGTGTTCTATGTATTTAATGTTATATGTGTGCGTGGAGGAACAAAGAGGTTTAATATAGTTTGGAGAAGGGGGTGTTGCACAAATATGGACATAATTAGAATTCAGTTAGTTTGTTTTCTTACTAGAAACATTGAACAAGCTCTACAATATGTTTGCAATGGGACTGCTAAAAAAAAATGTGAAGTTTACATTACAATTTTAATTCCAAAACTAGATAGTAAACATGAGCAAATTGTTGAAAATTTGTTCAACTGACAGACTGTTCAATTCAGTCCGGGATCCTGTTCATAGAGTTTGGATACAGTGATCTGCCAGGTTTTTTTTTACTTGTTTTTACTCTCACTGGTTAATGAATTCATTGATTTAGAGAATAAACAGATTGTATCATAACTGTTTGCTATGACCCAATGAGTAATTTAAAGAGGAGACCTGGTTATTGTGAGAAAAAAATTAAAGTCAGCAGCTTCCAATACTGTAGCTGCTGGCTTTTATTATACAGACACTTACCAGCCCAGGGATCCAGCGATGTCCTCACTTGGGCCGGTTCTTTGATGGTCTTCAGTCCCAGATATTGCCATATTGCTTGTGTGAAGCCAGCTATGACTTCCTGATGTTTCACAGCCAGCTTTCCATTGCGCATATGCAAGACACGCTGTGCTTTCTGAATGATTCCATAGTCTCCAGGAAATTGTGCAAAGGGGGGGGGGGGGGTAAGAGGGGGAATCTATGTGGCTTGTATAGGTGAGTCAAGCGGAAGTGGGATCAGGTACCTGCCAGATATAAGTACCCACTCCCAGAAAAAAAACTTTCCAATACAGGCAGAGAAGGAGACAAGGAGGAGGAATCTACATTTTCAGGTGATGTTCTGCTTTAATCTCATCAAGTATAAGAACTGGAGTGTAGGAATCTTATAAAATCCCTTTCATCAGTATAAACCTATGCAATTCTATTATGATGCCCATTTAGTTTAAAGGTATATTAAAGGAGAAATATAGCCAATGCTATTTTGGCTATACTTCTCCTGTAGATCACAGGAGCACAGTTTGTTCTGCACTCCTGTGACCCATTTTCAGCTGACAGCAGGCTAAAGCCCGCTGTTGGCTGTTGTCACTCAGCCGGGCCAGGCTCTTAAAAGATCCCATATGGTCAGGATCCACCCAGAAGCTTGGACCTGTACCTGGCTCAGCCTCTCAGCGATCTGCCAAGAGCCTGAGCCACACTCTACCACCCCCTCCACAGCCCAGCTCTACAGTGAGCACTGGAGGGGCAGAGCAGTGAGCCAGAGACCAAGAGTTACGGCTCTCTGCTCAGAGTGGAGGGAAGAACTGAGTGATCAGCGGTGTTTAATCACTCAGTTCTCATTACAGCAGGGGGCAGATGCAGTATATTGGATTGATGCTGCATCCACCTCGGTGAATATAAATGTTTTTTCAGTCCATATTTCTCTTTTAAATTCATTTTATTGTGCTAAATGAGCTTCTAATAGCAGAACTTTTGTGCTCCAGCTATGTAGGTGCCCCTTGATCCTGTCCCACCAGGATCTCCACAACCTGTCCATTCCTGTTTCAAGCTACAACCTGACATACATCCTGTCCCAAGAGGCACACCAAGTCAAATCCACCTGAATCAGGAGCCCACTGTGTCAATCACCACTGCAGAGAAGGAAGTGGGATGTACGTAGCTTTGGCGCTGTGCCCTTTCACTCTACTTGTGTGTGTGGCGCTGAGAATGGCCGCATGTAAATTTGTAGTTCTAATCTGGAGTGTGCATGTAGTGGAGACTCCAGTGAAGCTCTATAGATTCTGGTAGGCACAGGAAGCATCCACATACCAAAAAATGTGCAGCTCAGCATGGGGTCAGTATGAGGAGGAATCTTAGAGGAGAAAAATGACAAAACAACAGTAAAAGCATGTAAATTAGCACCTCATTTAGAACGGCTGTGTGTAAGGTTGTAACTCTAATAGCAGATAGCAGGACTCCATAGGTCATGGTAGGCACAGGGGGCACCTTAATACCTGGAGCATATAAATTCTGCTGTTAGCAGCTCACCTAGAAAAAAGTTGACTTTTATATCACTTTAGGTCTATTTAATATAATGTAATTGAAATGTTCTCAAATTGTAATTTGTCAAGTACTCTAAAGACTACATGATATTTTTACAGGTTTTCAAAATATTTCTAAACCGACAGCTGCACCCCCACCAACAGTACAAAGTCCAGGTATTTATCTTTTCTAGTCCTACATCCAGAATTCATTTGCTGTCAATCGCGTCTTAACTAAACTATGCATGCATTTCCAAATTCATCTTTGAGGCACTGTGTATCTGATCTTTCACAAAATTCTGAAGTTACTGAGAGTAAATACCTTTGCAGAGCTTTAATTTTGCAAATCTTAAGTATTTTCACATGTAAGGTTAGCTTTGAAAAATGTCTCCAGGAATGCAATTCTTTGTTCTGTATCTGTGTATTTACAACCATTCAACCCTGTTTAACCCAGGACATGTTAGAGACACTTGTACATTTGAGCTCTGTGAGAGCTTACACTTTTACTGCCAAGAGGAGCTGCTGCCCAGATGAAATCAATCTGCAGCATCTTCATGACATCACAGGACAGAAACTACATTGAGTACACAGAACATACAAAGTGCAGTTAAAGCCAATTATATTTTACATATAACTTCATGGTTATCCAGTATGTAATGGCAATGCAAAATGTCTGAAGTTCTTGTTTTTTTCTTGTTATGTTTTTATTTTCTTTACCCATGTAGGCTAAAAAGCTTTATGTTTGTATTTAATTACAGGAGAAATGCAATTTTAACAATGCTGGCTTTTTAATTAGGTCAACTGTTTTGTGTAATTGAACATTCTCCCAATACACACGCACACACACAATGGGGGAGATTTCCTAAAATTGAAGAATCTGGTGCCACTGACATGGCAGCTAATCAGCTTCTAACTTCAGCTTGTTCAAATAAAGTGTTACTAAAGTCAAAATTTGTTTAAAATATAATAACAAAAATTTTACTCACCTGCTCTGTACAGTGGTATTGCACAGAGCGGCCCTGATCATCCTTTTCTCGGGTCCCCTGCTGGCAATCTTGGCTCCCTCTCTTTTTTTGTGTGTCCCCATAGTAAGCTAGTTGCTATGGAGGCACAGAGGGTCTGCTCGCTCCCGAGCTGTGCGTCTATGTCCACAGACTCACACAGCAGGACTTAGTTCCACCCTCCACTTCCTCTTCACTGCATTTGATTGACAGCAGTAGGAGCCAATGGCTCCTGCTGCTGCTCGAGTACTGAGTGAAGAGGAAGAAAGGGGAGAAGAGATGCAGCCATGCGCAGTGCTGGATTTATTCTCCCCTCTCTTTCCCACACAGGGAAGGGGGGAGTACAAAGAGAAATAAAAAAAATGCTTTTTACCTTAATACAAAGAATGCATTAAGGTAAAAAAAAAACATTTTTAGCTTTAGTATCACTTTAAACTTTGACAATGAAACCTGGAAGCTGACTGATTTCTATGCAGAGCTGCAACAGATTTTGCACACTTCCGTTTTAGTAAATCCACCCTCAATGTCTATTTCATGGATTGTAATATTTGCAGACCATTTTTTGCTATCACAGTATACACCCTCTGAGAAAAGTGTGTGTGTGTGGGGGGGGGGGGGGGGGGGTGGAATTAACATGGAGTGTTGCAAACACACACTTGCACCACTCTTCTAAACATGAAAAAAAATGAGCAGATGATGTTCCTGATTAACAGAAGTTTGTTGACAGGCAGCACAGACAACATTAGAGCTGGAGCTGCATGCTCCCATCTCTGTGCCATATCCCCCTAAGTTCAGAGCAGGTGGGTTGTTAACTCTGTAGGCTCGGCTTGTGTAGTTTAATCAATGCATGAGCAAAGTAAAGGATGTGAGCTGTCTAATGACAACTCGCATCCCATATGTCAGGTCATAGCAGGGAGAATCTGCTGCAGTTTTCTATATGTAAAATTGCCATATGCCCTATGTTAATTAAGGGCATACCTGTGCTAGTCTCTATTTCACTGTGTAATAAAAACTAGTGCAACTGGCGCAGATAGACCTAAAATGGATCTATCTAATTAGTTAATGTGCTGCGTCATTATAATGGTGCAGGAAGCTTAGTTAAATTCCCAGCCTGCATGCACTCAATGAGCTGCTTCATTATAGATTACAGTATTTCTTTTTTAGTCTTCAGGGAGGAGACAAAGAAGCCACCTTTGACCACCACAAGGCCAACAACACCTAAACCAAAACCAGGTAGGCTCTGTTCTTTTTTCCTTTCTGAATGTTTCAAAACTAAGGTAATATACATCTGAGAAATACATTCTATCCTTTTTAAAAGCAATTGTAACACTCATCTATTTTGAATAAGCATTTGCTGCTCATAAAAGATGATCACTTCATGATCACTTGACCCTATTTTCCAAGGATATCTGATGCTCCTTTGTTGTATTCTGTAATCACTACTGACATCATACCCTCCACCGTCTGGGAAAAATAAATTATAATATTGCAGTTAAACATTAGTAATACTGATGTATCAGAGAAAAATATATGCAATCAGCAATTTCCTTATTCTCCACTGTTGGTACTATTCTCCTCTCTTTTTACTATTTTAGTGTAAGGATGCATTAAACAACAGTAATTTCTCTTTTTATTTTGGAATATTTTTGGAATGCAATAGCATTATCCATACTAAATGTGGATAAAAAAACTGCATTGAACATGGACAAAATTGTGAATGGTTAAAGCCCAACACCGGGTAACTTAAAAATTATCAGTTGTTTTTTTCTGTGTGGACTTTGTCTACATGGTAATGTTATAGTTTTTGTGTGTATATGCATTGTCATGATGCCATGTATTGGATTTGTATACTTTTCCAATAAAAAGTTTGTAACAAAAAACAAACAAAAAAAATATCCTTTGCAGTGGGGCTGCACTTGCACTGCAATGGTTAATTGCTGATTTAGCATAGAGGAGAGAAGTGCTTTTACATACCTGATCCTCCGCTCCCTCTGCAGATGGTGCCTCCCCTACGCACTGGTGGTGGACTGTTTCTCGGTGTAATAATGTCCAGTGCAGGTATATATAGACCCTATATATAGACCCTGCATTGGTTTTAATGAAGTCAGGACCTTGGACTGCTGGGGCACAGGGGAGAGGTCAAAGCAGGGGCTAGTTTAGCAGTGAGAAGGAGCAGAGAATCTGTTAAGTAAATCTTCTTTAACAAGTCCCATAGACATAAACAAGCAATTAACCCATGCTGCAAGGGCACAGCTCCACTTCAGGGGATCATTTTCAAGTTCTCTGGAGTTGGGCTCTGAACTACAATCAGGTTTTTTTTTGCCTTTCAGGTTCCATTCTGGAGGTCTCATTTCAAATACTGTATTTTAGACAAAATAGGAAGTTAGAGGAAACCTATTCAAAATTAGGGAAAACTCCTCTTAGACAGTTGTCCAAAATGTTCCAGTGACAACTCAAAGTCTAGTTTTACCCCCTTCCCCTTAAGATTTAGTGACAATGAACACCAGGATAAACAAAAACAAAAACCCTCAGGTTTTCAAGTAGAAGGGAGATGTAGTGTGCTGGACTGCTTTAAGCATTGGGTATTTCAGGTGACAGAATTGATTGTCATTAGACAGCTCTCCGAGGAGTAGTAACCAAAGGTCTGACCTAAATTTTATTCAGAATCTTGTATTATAAAAATCCAATGCAATTCAAAGGTTCAGAGGGTACTTCTTCATCAGGGTTTGGTACTGCTGAATGAAGCATGTACTGGACTGATACAGTTGAAGGGATCCTAATTGGTATTTGGCATGATCACTCCAGATGACAGTTAAGATGCTTAAATGAGTGATGCTTAAAAATGCTTAACCTCCCTGGCAGTATTCCCGAGTGTAGCTCGGGGTAAAGTTTCAGTACCAAAAGCGGTAACCCCGAGCTACACTTGGGCTTACCATGCGGTGCTGCTCTGGCATCTGTTCTTCATTTACCTTGTCCTGCGCTCCCGCGATGTCCCTCCTGCAGTGTCCCCGGCAATGTCATCCGGCGGATGCCGGCATCTGTCATCTGGGTTCTGCCCCCTGTAAGCATCGGGACGTACGGGGGACGGAACTGGCAGGAAATTTGAAAATGACAAAAAGTGATATTCACTAAATACACTAAAATCACATTACTGTATCAAAGCATTTCACATACATTTTATCCCTAGTGCTTTGTCCTGTGCCCTGCCTGCATTTTTACTGTTCTTTCTGCCTGGAAACTGAGAAATGTCCATGGCATCCAAAAAGCGTCCCTTTAGGTCAAAATCAGTTTTAGACCAGCTAGAGAACAGCCATAGTAAATCAGAACCACTTGCAGAATTGAGTGATAATGTTGTGTGGGGAAATTCGTCATCAGACACTGAAAACGATTTTGCGACTTTGCTCAGCGATGTGCGAACTTGGCGCTCTATTTCAAATTTCAGTGTTTTTGGTTTGATTATATTATTGAATTAAATTTATTATTATTATATTATTATTTTTTATGAGTATTTATTAAATTATAATTTATGATTTCGTTTTTCAAATTTTATCATATCCATGATGTTTACTAGACTCTTGTTCAGACAGATTTCAGTGAGTTATTCCTAAAAATTACAGGCCTACAATAAAAAAAAATACATATTTCCATGCAAACAAATGTACCGCTTTGAGCACAGAAATACTGACATAATCAAACTGCTAGGGAGGTTAAATACACTGTCGTTTTATGATACAAGATTCTGAATAAAATTAAAATTGGACCTCATACATTCTGATTTGGCCACTTTCCATTCTTGCACACTCAGCAATAAAAATCTGCCAAAAAGTCCTAACCCTCCCCACGCTATCCAAACAAGTTTCAGCTTTATACTTTCAAGCTTTTTTTTTTCTTCCAAAAAACAGTAAAATATTTTGAAATTCTGATTGCCTTTTACCATAGCCAAATTATGTGCATGAGTGTGTAAAAAACAGCTAACAGTCTTCCTATATGGCATAGTTTATGTCACTATATGGCATAGTTTATGTCATATCACCATTTATCCGTGCTTTTGCAGGTTGAGTTAACCAAGAAAATATTCTTTTAGTAAAGAACAATAAACAAAGTGTGCAAGAATTGTGTTTAGTCAGGGAAACATCCAACATAGCCCTGAGGAGCAGACAGAACATTGCAGAAAATATGTAATTGCACTAATCTGATTTTTTTCAATAGCTGGTGGACTGCGAGCCTTGTTTGGCATAAAAGTGTCACTGAAGAGCTTTAGAAAAATAACAGTCTTCTTTTATTACATTCTTTCAATTAACAATTGTCCAGAAAGCTTAAGTAAATTCCAGACCAGCGTTAGAAAATGACACATACTGTAAAGACTGAAAGTTTTGAACAAATGTCTGAGATGCAGGTAAAGCAGAATCCTTCAAAACTCAGTGTATTTTGACTCAGGTGTGCAATACACCATACAAAATTTTTAATGTTGTGTATCCTCTCCTCCTATTTTTACATTTGTCATCCTAATACCACAACTACAAGTCTGTAATGAAATGGGAGTTATGGCAAATGCACCACAGTAATGGTTGTCAGTAGATGTCTTTCTAGGTGTGCGACTTGGTGGGGAAACCCTACAAAGGGTAATAACTTTTTTTTACCATTAGCAATGCAAAAACCTCATTCTCGAAGAAAACTGACAATAAGCCAGCAATAGAAAGCCGAGTTGCCGATCTTCCCCACACAGCAGGTGTAGGGGTAGTTGTAATGCATTGTACTAACTTTTCACGGCTATGACAAGCAAGATTATAAATACTGAAAGTTTACTTAACACTCCCTGTGAGAAGACAGCTCTCTGCTGGATGATCTTCTGAATAGCCAGGGTTCAGTTCTGATATTTTCTATGCAGCCTCTCCACAGCTGTGAACATTTTGGCACATGTTTAGGTACTTTCTTCAACTATCTGGCGCTTGTTTCATTTTAATAATAGTTCATTCCTTAAATCAAAGATGTAATGCAATGGAAGTGATGTGTGCTAAGAATTTAGTAACAGATGACCTTGATTCATCACTCCTAAGTAATTTCTTTGGTAAGAAAGTTGTCTGTTTTAAACAAATGGATATATTAAGTCAAAGGAAAGTACTTCAGTCATTGGTCCAGATCATAAGGATGTTTAACCATTTTAACAATAATCAAAAATTAAATAAATCCATATTTGTGTGAAGTATTGCTCTTATCCAGATGTGATCTTTCTCACAACTTCAATGACCTTTGCACACATCAGATGATGAGCCAGCCATTAAACTCTGATTCCATGGAAATCTTCTTGTTATTAAATAAACTACAGCAATAAAAATAGAAATATTTAATTCCCTAACCCAGATAAGAAGAGAATGAAAGTTAAAGAATATAATAGTAGTTTTGGTGTGGGGATTTCAAGTATTTTAAAATGGCCCAATATGCTTTGGAGGGGGGCACTGAGCCTCAATGTGCTATACTTCAAATAATAATTCTGCAACTCCCTGCATTTATGTCCACTTACCAGTCTTGCACAAAAGAGAAAAGAAAGATCTTCAGCACTGCCAAAGCAATTTGGGTAGTAAGAGTGTCAACAACTGTAAAATATAATGTGTATCCCCTACTCCTTTGGGGCCTGGCTTCAAGTACAAGTTCCTTTGCTATGCCCATGGGGAAACGTATAGCATAAACCAAAAATTCAGCTTGGTACAAGAAAATAGAAGTAAGTTAGTTTGTAACCTAAAATCTACATACAGGAAAAAGTCCATCATATATCAAGATATGTTTATTTTTTTCAGTACTTTACTTCAGTAAATATCCAAAAGCACTTACTCCAGTCACTCACATTACAAGTAACTTGGCTAAACCAAGAGCCCAATTCTTAGTGGCTTTAAAGAGACTCTGTCATGAGAGAATCATGGAAGCTGCCATTGCTGGACTCTTCTTTGAAAATGTTAGTTCCCTAGCTGGTATACAGATGCTTTGGCTTTAGCCTGTTCGAGTTGCTGACCTCGAAAAAGTATAGGACAAAGGAGTTCTGACTGAGCATGAGTTTGTGATTTAAAAGTAAAATCAAACACAGTCAATCAACTAACATTTTCTTTAGGAGGTCAGCATGGGCAGATCATGTACTTCCTTCATGACAGAATGACTTTAAACACCAGGCCTTGGGAACAAAGCTCCGCACATACATGTACCTTCTCATTATGATGTCCACCTAAACTCTCCCACTGTAGGCTAAACTAAAAAACAGTACCACTCTAATGCTCCAGAAGATACGTACTGTGGCTGGTGATACTGTAGGCTGGTGCTCGTCAGGATATAAGACTCGTCAGACTCAGGTTAGACTACAAGAAAATGGCACCCAGCCATACACAGAATCAGCAGACTGTAAAGCTAAAATAGTAAAGGTTGATGAGAATTGACTTCAACTTGTTTCTCCAACCTAATGTACTTTGCCCATGTGGAGCTTACTCATAGAGGCCTATGGTTGATAACCGAGCTGAAGCCAATTCTCATCATCTTTCACTTTTAGCTCAACAATCTGCTGATCCTTTGTGTGGTGGGGCACCATGTCCTTGACTCTCCACTTCACTTCTACAACTACATCCATTATGAAGCCCAAAGCTAGGGCTCATCAAGTATCACAGGATGGATTCTAATACCTAAAAGTTAAACACTACACTTTTTAAAAAAACTTTCAGCAGCTGGCCTCAAGACTTACATTGTGTTCTGTTCTTTTATGTTGTTAACATTAATAAAGATTCTCTTTTCTGCCAAGGACCACCCCTCTTTAATGTTTCATCCAGTATTACCTTGATCACAAAGATCTCTGTGATCAAGTACGTATTAGGTGAAACATTAGAGAGGGCCATTCATAGACAGTGCTGCTGCGGGCTATGTATGGGTTTAATAAAGTTGAATGTGATCTGACATCATCGGTGTGCGACTTCCTTCTTTCATGTGGACTTCATAGAAGATGGTTTGTCTCCCTTTGATCGGCACCTGGAGTTCTAGAAGCAGGAGTTTTTCATACAGGTTTAGAGCAGTGACATCTCTATAACTGTTCAGTCAGTTCAACTAATCGACCATACCACTGTTTCATAAAATGCTTTTTGTACATACAGGTAGGTTCTTCTGAATTTTATCTGCTGGGGTGTATGTACATTTTCACTTAGAAGATTGCATTGATTTCAATCACCCGATTATGTGCAAAGGTTTTTTCTTCTATTCCTCTATAACTGAGTGTGTGTTTGAAGTGTAAAAATTGTAAAAATATACTTTCCTAATAAATCACTCTCACTGAATGTTTCTTTTTCAATGGTATACAAATTATAGCTAAACTATTCTGCAATTTTAGAACTTGTCATGAATAATTGAATGTAATTGTAAAGGGTATTTCTTATTTGTTTTTGATCTTTGGCTTGTTCATTAACAAAAGTCCATAACACTTTAATGAATACTGGAATCTAGCACTGTGATACAAGTAAACTGACCCTTCTAATGAACGAGTGTTACGAACATACAGTACATTGTTACTGTGCAGATTTTTGTTTCACTGTTGCTAATGAGATGCAAATCCCTGTGCTGACATTGTTTTTCCAAAGATTAAACTCAAAATTCAGAAGAACTTGCTGAATCAATATAAGATTGCTCCCACTAGACTGCTCTAGTTTGTGTGACAGTTGTTTCCTTTCCGCTGTTATATGTATCATTTGGCATTGTCATTATTCATGAGTTTCCTAAGCTCTTTTGCACAGATTTATCTAGAAATCCAAGGATCGCATCACCCACAGGATGTATCAATAGAATTTCATTAATAACACTGGAGTATTTTTTTCTTTTAGCTTCCAAAGTTACTGTCTCCCTTCCAATTCCTAATACTTCAGAAAAAACTATTGCAGAAGATCCCAAACCAGGTATTGCTTTTCACTTAGCTTTTTTCACCAGAATTTTTTTTATACCCCTGGCATGACTACAGTGGAAACTGCTGCATTTTCAAAAGTGTCTTTCCATAATTCTATCAATTCATGTCATTATCATAATTATATTTCCTTATGTTTTAGAATGAACAACTTACGTCTGATTGCTTTCAAATGCTACTTTTAAATAATTGCATTATGACGTTTAACAAAGTATATAAACGACATATTTGACTTTTATGGGATTGTTAACACTTCTTTTTGTAATGCCTTATTGATATTTGAATGTCTCCTAGATGGGAATAATGGTGTATTTGTTACATAGTAAAATGAAACCCACATTGTGGACTGCTTTGCTAAAAGAATAATTTTCACCATGTAAAGAAGTTGGTCAACATTTTTCAGATAATGGAGATGATTTACAAATGAAGTATGTTCACTAAGCTAAGTAAAAATTTACTTTGTGAGTGAGTAATGTAAGGCTGTGCTGTTTTCAATCATCCAAACATGTACAAGAAAAGATCTTGGTTTTCCTAATTTTCCTTACAGATGATTGGGTATACTTTGCAAAGTGAATTTTTACTTGGCTCCACCTCATTCATCAAACAAAGTGAAAATGTACTTTTAAAAATGAACATGGCCACAGATAAATTGAAATCCAGCTGGTTGAGCAGGACCCACTGAATTTTGATCCATTTATAGTCAAGGTGGTTGTATAGGAGTCAATCGCTCAATTGTCTTCTGTACAACCAGACTGTTAGATTTTTTTTGTTTTTCCCAGTCAGTGCCACCAGCTATAGCTGGCAACACCGATCATTGTATTCTGCCAGCGGGGACAATAGTAGTGATTAATTCGAGGTGAATGGGGGAATCAGCACATTTTTTTGGTTGAACAAAAAAAATGTTTAATGTATGGCCTGCCTTATTCTTTTAGTAAATCCACCCTGATTAAAACTTAGGCTGGCCATAGATTATGCACCTTTCTTTCCTTAAACCACAGGCTGAAGGAAATAAGTGCTTAAATCCCCTGTTAACACAGTTAATGTTGATCGGGGAATCCCTCCTTCTGCGCTAATGTTTTCTGAGAGCTGGAGGTTTCCCCTGCCATCAGAATACAATGAGCACTGCTGGTGGCTATAGCCACCAGCAATGATTATAGGAAGTATGTATTGAAGATGATCAATAGATTGACTTAAATACAACCAGACTGCCCATAGATGGATCGAAATTAGGCTGGTTCCTGCTGAACCAGATACATTTCAATACTTGTATGGCCAGCTTAAGGCTTAATTTCTTTTGGGAGATAAATATCTGTTAGCATAATTCAGGTTGAAAACTCTTAAGTGTTGCAAACATGATAAAGCAAACAATAGGATTTATTTACTAAAGTTGCTGTGAATGTTCAATGTGTGAATGTTTTGTACGTTTATTAGCCATGGTGAGTCTTTGCTTATCCAGTCAGATGCAAGAAAAATTGTGTTTATTTTATTTTTTTTTTATTTGCTAAGAACAGTGACAATTCAATTTGCAAAGTCAACATTCATTCTGGCAAACGACCAATCTCCAAACCTTTAGCAAATCTGGCTCATTCTTTGAATACTGCTGACCATCCCCTTTGCTGGTGTCTCCATATGAGAATGTGGAAGCTCTGCTCTTATAGCAGAGTCCTGGAAATCCAATGTCCTTAATGTTTGAGTTTAATTTTTTATTTTAGACTGTGGTCACTTTGCATCCCCAATGACTCTTTCTATTTTTTCCAATTTCACTGAGCCTGTTTAGTTATTTGATGTAAAAGTATAAAAGTGAATAACAATTAATAAAGTGAAGCTATGCTTACTTCATTCAACCATTGATGTGCAGGGGAACCTGCTGCTTAATTGGGCATTCAAACAGACCACAGCTTTGCTTGGTGAACATTCAATTTTCTAACTACACATTCTCAACTTCCTAATAAGTCAATGCTATTAAATACATTGACCCCTTTGTTGCTTTGGTTATATAACATACACTAATGTATTGGTATAATGAATATTATATTTTCTGTAGCATTAACAAGCCAAGCCATTGTGGAATCTTTCACTTCAGATTCATCAACTAGTACCCTAGAATGGGTCCCAGCAACTATGGGTAACATAACTTCCATTTTCTTTCCTCCATCTCCCCTTTGCCAGTTCATGTGATTTACAGAACAAATCGCTTCTTTCTAGGAAACCATGGCTGACCTTTGTCATTCCTTCAGATTCATTTGTAACATTCCACGGCAATTTATCCTCTTCTTCCCCTCATGGCATCCATTCTTTGTTCATTTGGAAATCATTCTCCAGCCAATGATCTCATCGTTTGTTAGCTCTGCATGTGGAAATTGCTTTTTCTCTTTTTTTCCTAGCATTTTCAGCATTGCTTTGGGCTACAAATTACCCATTTCTATTATGGCACACAATAGCAAGCAAGAACAGTTTTAATTTGTTTTGTTTGGTCTTTGCTTTAATTTACCATTTGCTTATTTATGTGGTCTCTGAAAAATATATCTGCAAATAAAATAAAAACCTGGTAAATACATACAGATGTAGATGCAACTATAACTGATATTTCCATTATATGCTATTAATTTTTTGCTTTCAAAGGTATACGAAAAATGATGAAGAAACTATTGGTGTGTACTCATACTAAACTAGCTGTGTATACAGAATCATTTTCAAAACACAAAAAGATGGAAAAAAACAAAACACAGTTTGTACTCTTTTGTTCCCTAGACATGTTCTTTTAGAAACAGTTTTGTGCATGGGACTGTGCTAATGCATAGAAATCAGCTCTTTCTTTATTCGTACATATACAGTACCAGTACCTCTCCAAATTTCCTCAATGTCTAAGAACACAAACCAGTGGGGAAGGTTAAACAGTGAGAGGCAAACCATTGATATCTGTTATGAATTAAATCATTATAGAATGTTTCCTTTAGGCTGCTATTCTCCAAGCTTTTAGCAGTTCTTGGTTAACAACTATTGGGGCAGTTTTCTAAAAGTTTCCTTTATGCTAGCCCTGGAAGCCTATTGTTATTTTAAATATTTTTCTCTCAACTTCCTACCCGCTTCACACTGCACAGGCATGCTGCAGCTCTATTCATTCCTATAGGAAAGCCATACTCATGGCAGCCTCAAGTAGTCTCTCTGACTGTGGCTTTCCTTTAGAAATAAATGGTATCAAGGTGTGCATGTGCAGTACACAGCAGCTATTTTCAGAGGAACATCTGTATGGCTTGCAATGGAGCTGTAGAGTAAAGATCACTGGAACTTGGATGAAATTACATAGAAAACTAGATGGGCAGCACTCAGGGAAAGAGGATGTGGGAACTAAGTAAAAAAAAAAAATAAAGTTGGTTGAACTCGATGGACTTTTTTCAACCAAATTAACTATATGTACTATGTAACACAGTAGTTGTCTTTAAGGTCATTTAAGTTTAAAAGAGCACACATTGAGGTTGATTTACTTAAACCGGAGAGTGCAAAATCTGGTGCAGCTCTGCATAGAAACCAATCAGCTTCTTTTTTTCTGTCTTAATTGAACAAGCTGAAGTTAGTAGCTGATTTTGTACAGATTTTGTATTTTTCAACCCCATTGTATTGTTTAAATTATCTGTGATAAAATTAGTAAGAACTCCCACACTTTGAAAAGCAATAGAACAAATGTTTGTTTTCACTTAATGGATTTCAATTTAGGTTGCAATTTCCATTGACATTTCCATTCTTTCCCCATTTGCTCAAAATAGAAGTCCTCTTGTATTTTTTTTTACACGTAGTACCATGCCAAGCATTATTTAAAACGAAATAATGGTTGTCCACATTTTTTTGAAACCCAACTACACTCTAAACATTTTCTGTAGGTTTTGAATAGAGTGGAGAAGGATCACATATTCTGCTGTGGGTTTTTTTTGCTGTCTGTGAGGATTGATATCATTTCCTGTGCCTGTGACACAGTTACAAGAAGACACACAGGGCAATAAAAACCTACAAAGATTCTTACCCTGTGAAAGCTACAAAGATTCTTACCCTGTGAACCTATTGGAGATGTCCCATTACTTCCTGTCCCTCTGATATCTTGTCACTCGGATAGTAAATGAGGATTTTTCTTTCTCCAGTGGGGATACAGTCAGCAATAAAAGGATTAAATTACTTCCCTGCCCCATTTGAAGCAAGAAAAAAAACAAAAACTTGTATCATACTTACCGTAATTTTCCTTTCCTGATGCCAATCCATGGCAGCATACATGTGACATAGCTCCGCCTCTATATCCACTCACAGGACCTGTGTATATCTATAAAAGTCTGACTGAGAGCAACCTCTCCCATTCTCCATACAATCAAGATCAAACAAGGGAGGGTTCGTATGCTGCCATGGATTGGCATCAGGAAAGAAAAAGTAAGTATTGTACAATTTTCCATTCTTCCTGACGTTAACATGGCAGCATACATGTGATAAATAACTAACTAAACAGGGAGGGCTAAACTGTATGATCAAACTGCATTAAGGACATGGAAGCCTAGACTACCATTATGTTGAATGTATGACTCTACCGTATAAGCCCCTGGATCTTCCCTGTAGCGCTTGAGGCACGTGCACTGTGGTAACTAGCCTACTGATTTGCAAAAGTCGTCATAGACACTTTTCATGTGCTGCCCCGAATGTAGAGATGGACCTGGCTGAATAAGCCTCTACCACTTCTGGAGGCTCTTGCCTGGCTGTACTATATTTTCTGGATGACATTGACACTCCAAGATGACAAGGTTTGCTGCAGCTTTCTCCTTTGAATTTGCCTAATGGAAACACAAACAGCCTCCTAGAGGATTTAAACTAGGAAGCAGCTTAAAGGTAGTCATCTTACATAATTTGTACATCCAGCTTGTGTAGGTACCACCTGTGCCAGAAAGGATGTAATCACCAATTTGTAAGATGAAAACTGAAACCACCTGGGTTCAAAGGTGCTCAAGGGGCATAGGCCCCAACTTGTTTAGAAGACAGAAGATGTAGGACTCTGTAGCTTGAAGTGCTTGCAGGTCCAAAACTCTGCTCTCTGAAGTTATCGAGGGACACTGCTTCTCGAGTGATGTCCTACTGAAGATGTCTTTCTATTGGTGCAACAGAGTCCTTTTCAAGGAAATCCAGTGCCAGAATAAAATCCCACAGGGGAAACGTTTTTCCTCAGGGCAAAGTCTCAGGACCAACCTCCTGTAACGGTCCCCTGGCAGATTACAATTCCCTGATGAAGCTGAAGTGGCTGAAATTTGAGTCCTTACAAAACTAGCCTGAACCCCAAATCAAGATCTGTGTGAGGAAATTATAGCAACTGGGCGACCACTGAATTGCTAGGATCAAAATGCTGCTCCAGACTTCGAAGTAAATGGCATTTGTTGGCATCCTTCCTGAAACCCTGCAGGATTTACCACTGAAAGAGGATGGTCTTTATCCTTCAATCCTTCCCTCTCAATTTCCAATCCATCCTTGTGACTGCAATGCATGTTTAGTGTGTTAGCATGTGACAGTGCCATCATCTGCAACAGAGAAGTGGCAATTTCTTCCTGGATAGGGTATCATTTTGCAGCTGCTTACTAATGAAAAATTTCATACCACTATTGCCACTTTTCTTGAAACAACCTCTTCATCCTTCCATTCATTGGGGGGAAAGGAAGGCTGTGCCTTGAAAACGTGAAGTATGTTCTGACTTTGAAAGGCAGTCACCCGGGACATCCTGGGCCTGCTACCCTAATGAATTACTGTACCCAAGAGACACTTGAACCCTGATTAGCCTCTTCAAGGAGGATGATTGACCTTCTTCTACCTCTGGTGAAGCCAGGTGCAAGGCAAATGTGAATGGCTTGGATAAAGGTTCCTCCATAGCCAGGAATAAAGATGGTTATGATGGGCTTGGGGCCTCCTTGGTAAGGAGGGCTAACTGTGGTGCCCTGTACTCCTGTGCAGGGCTGCATCCTTGACGTTGTGCCCAGAGTCTGCTGGCGTAAGTGGTTGGAGAACTCCAAAAGACTATGACTTAGTGGCTCCCAGCTTCCTTTGTCCTTAGAAAGGTTTAAGTGGCAATATCCTCAGACATGTTAGTCTGGTATTAGGTCCATGCCGCAGGCACAGCATGTTTTACCCTTTGTCACTCTTAGAGCTCAGGGAAGCAGAGATGCCAACACTCACTGGGAAATTTATCTGCATCCTGGGTGAGACCTGCGGGGCTGGAAGAACCATGGCAATGCTATTTTAGCTTGACCTGAAGCAAGAGCGAGAGCAGGCTAGGTTGTACCAGAAGATGAAGCCACGCTCCTGGAAAGGCACTCTTTTTCCTCTTCTTACTTTCCACACTGATGGTCCCTACCTGAGCACATGGAGGTCTTAGTTATGTGGCAGAAGGCTCATGTTGGAGCAAGGATGTCAGCACTGCACAGAAAGTAAAATGAAAGACTCAGAGAAAGAAGCAAACAGACCATAGACATGTGCCTGAATCTTCTCTCTCCCCCCCTCATTCATCTGTAGCATAAGCAAGAAAAAAACAGAAAATGTTTCCGGTGCAAACTCACCTTGCACATGCATGAGCCTGGACGTGCCTTAACAATTATGGTTGCCACAAGAGGCCCGCTTCACAGTGTATATGTGGATGCCATAGCCAGCCATGAGACTGAAATCAGCCACAAACCCTGGACCAGATCATGTACACACGCTGGCCATAGGTGAAAGGAAAAACTGCCAAATGACAAAATCTAATGACAGTAGAGGCAAGGTAGGAAAACAAAAAGGATAGCACTAACCTGTGGGAGAAAAGAAAATCACAGCACTAACTCCAGCACCATGATCCTGCTCAGGTGTGCAGAGAAACACATGTAGCTTGGACTGCAGCAAACAAACACCAGCTCAGGTGCAGCACATGAGGTTCTGATATCTCTGGTTAGAGAACTCCTCACCCCAAAAGACCACCAGATGGGGCTCCCCACCTTGTTGGTGCATTTATAAACCTAAGATGCAAGACTGCGCCTAGGATAGGCTGAACTCAGACAGACTCCGACTCAGTCGGCAGGTAGGGACTTCTCACAACATCACGGTCTTGCAGGTGTAGATCTTGAGGACAAAAAGGAGAATGGGGGAGGTTGCTCTCAGTCAGACTTTTATAGATATACTCAGGTCCTGTGGGTTTATATAGAGGCAGAGCTACATCACATGTATGCTACCATGTTGGCATTAGGAAAAAGGTTTGGCTGGAGTTGGGCATTACCATGTTGCAATAGCCCAACCATTGGTCAAAATCAACAGTAACATTGTATAAATGAGTAGACATTTTGCTCCGTTTTTTTATTAATGTACAAACATACTTCAATAACATCAACCTTCACAAAGCTTTATTATTTCAGGACTAGATCACAAAGGAATCCAACCAGATCCAGCCTTACTCTAACATGCCTCTAACAAGGCCAAAAAGGCCTTAATAGCAAATAATTTTTACATGTCGGCATTGTACTGATTTTTAATAGATCTAGGCAAAGGATCTATGCTGAGTTCTCAGGAATCAACATCTTTAAACATTGCTGAAACCCATTTGCTTTGGGTGTAAAAGCTCAAATTTTATGGAGTGTCTTAATGTCCTTTAATTGTGGAGATCTGGCATCTATAGCAAACAAAATTCCCAATAAAATATATATTGCTGCAATTTGCTTGCTATAACTGCACAAATATAGAGAAACACTTTGTGCAAAGATTTCTTAAATGTCACATATCCAACCACATTGTAAAAATCTGCCCAAGAATTCAATGTAACAAAAATATTACAGCATTCCAAGACAGCCACAATGAAACCAAGCTGTGATGACTTTATATTATCAATAATTCCTTTGTTTCAAATGAAAAAATGTTTCTTCTTAAAAAGGAAACACATCACTGTAAATTATATTTTCATGACTATAGTTTATTCATTTTTATTCTAATTGGCATTGGAAGTCCCAAACAAATGTGCTGGCTTACATCTACCCAGATTTATGCCTATTGATTTAAAATCCATAAACAGACTTTTAGTCTTTTAGCTTTTAATGTTGTAGCAATAGAGCAATGTAATATCTATATAAAGTTTGCTGTATGCATGGTCATGGTTCCTTATTAATACCATTATTTTTCTAAAGGGAATAGAGAATATTCACATTAAAAATTTATTGGACTTAGTAAATAAAATGAATCAAATAAAAATGGATCAAAAATCATGTTTATATCATTTCTCTTATACAGGGTTAGTTATTCAAATTTTCTGGCTTTCACTTTGCAAAGTGAATGCGCTTTAGTCCTTTAGTAAATCAACCTCAATGACAAGACATATACATTTGTCAAACTTTTCCCATGCTTTATCATCCTGTGTATACAACTTTAATGGAGAATTAAATTTTGTAGCTGTAGCTCTACCTCAAGGTGTTTGGTATTTATTAGGTCACCATCACTAAAATTGGTGAATTGCTTGTTTGCAAAGTGGCCTGCTTGCATACAATACAAACTCAATGTCTTTCACTCCATGCACAGTCATTTTCTAATATTACAGTACTGCGACTCGTATATCAACTAAGTCTCATTTTGTCCCCATCCCACAGTAACCCATCTTTACATTCAAGTAACTAATATACCAACTGAATCTTCTGTCATCGATGAACAGTCTTCTTCATTGGGTAATCATTTTAAGGTTTAATTTGTGCTAGGTAAATATTTCAGGAGTCCTAAATTCTGTGGTGAGTTACATATTGTCTTCATATGCAGGGTAGAAAGGAAAGTCTAAACTTCTGCATGTTAGTATCCTATTTTTGTTGTCAGTAGATCATTCACAAAAGGTGTCAGGCGAGATCTGCTATATCGAAATAGATGAGAAAAAATTAAATTGGATACAATGCCTTAGAAGATGTACACTGGGAATTGGCTTGTAGCGCAAGCAATATTTTTAGTTACTTTTTTTTTTAACTCACTTTAATCACATAGATGTAGGCATCTCTAAGGCCTTAAATAACCCTGGACAAATTGCTCATTATTTAGCTTCCAATAGCAAGTTTCCTAATAGAACGTCTGGATGTAGGAAGGGACCCAGGAACATAACTTGACACAGGGTAGACATTTTGATGGAGTATGGATGACATCTGTGCATTATTAATATAATTATTGTAGGGATGAGCAGAATCCTTCTTGTGCAAAGGAATAACATGCAGAGACTCAAAATTCTCCACTGCAGCCACAGAAAATGCACTTTTTTGTTCTAATGATGGGAACCTAATTTTAGGGCGATATAAATGCTTAGATTAGATATTTCAATTTCATCGACTTTCACTTTTACAATAGCTTAGACTGATAATTTCAACTAGCTTTTATGTCCCTACATCCAAGTCTCTGATATGAGTGTCTGAAAGCAGCTCTCCCACTTTGTGGGGCTAAGCCAATTGCTCTTTCTTCCACTTTATTAAAACAAAATCACCCAACAGCAGAACCAGCTTGCTTACTATCAAAATAACTCTTAGAATGATTAGGACTACTTAGATCATGCCAATATTTAATAATTAGGTAGTAATAGCTGTATCTATAATGCAGATATACCATAAAACGTTACTTGATTCATTTATTGCTTTAGATTAAAACATGTAACCGTTTCCTTATATCTGCCTAAATGATTGCTCTTAATTCTTGTACAAGAATCATATGGTATCCCATCTGAAATAGCAACAGAGGAATCTCTTCCTTCCTTGAATCCTCCAAATGATGACACAGAGCATGTTCTATAAGTACTGAACCATCTTAAAGTATAACTAAAGGCAAAACATTTTTCAGTTTTGGACAGAGTGGAGATGTTTTAGAAAACCGTTAGGATTTTATTGCTATTTGTTGTCCCCGGAAAAGTAATAAAGAGGAAAGTTTCCAATGGGGACACTCGTTTGGTGACCTGGGGGTCCAAGGAATTCCCTTAATTTGCACTAATTTTCTCTTACTTCTTGTTTCGGCTATGGCACATAAATTGAAGGTAAATCTCCCCAATGGGACGCAGATGACAAAAAATATACTGAAAGGGGTTATAACCCTCCCTTACTCCTTATTTGCCTATAGTTCTACTTTAATATCTGTGTTCATGCCATGAATATTATAAGCTAATATATAGTATTACAGTTACAGGTTCTTCATTACAATAGATCCATTTTAATATAATTTTGTAACACATCTTTTTTATAGATAGAGTCGTGATATGGAATTATAATGTGCTATTTAATTGCCTTATCTGAGAGAAAACATTAGCATGCATATTTTTCCCATGACTGTGTTTATTGGAAATTTAGATTGCCAAAAAGGATTCATGGATCACTTCATCTGTGAAATATACTTTTTCCTTCATACTTTTTCAAGAGTTCTTCCTCATGTTCATTCTTATACAGTTTTCTTAAGTTAAGACAAATCAATGTATTACAGAAGATATATGCAGTTAACATACCCCCCAGTTTATTTATGATGATGGCACTCAGAATGTTGGCTTACTTCTTATGTAGAGGAAGTCATTATAAAGTGTGCACCAGTTTTATTATGGTTCTTGGTGAGCTACAGTCATAGTGATAAGTGTACGCATAATACTGACAGGATACTGATTCAGTGCAAATGTATAGGTATTATGAAGTGTACATGTGCTACTTTACTGTTTCAGCCCCGATATAGCTCAGGATAAATAGAGCTGTTCTGCTCCTGAGTGCCTTGTTTTTGTGCCAGACTAAAGTGATTTATACCAGTCCTTTTACTTTGCAATCAATTCTTGCTTATGACCATGTCATCTGTGTATGGCAGGCTGACCAGTTCCATGGATCAATGTTCTAGTTCAAGGGAGAAATAACTGAATCATTTTTCCTTATATGAGCATTGGATGTGTCTTTGCCTCAAAGTTGCCTCAAATGACAATGGCTCTGTTTTATGAAAACTTATCAAACGAAACGTTTGGGTATTTCCCAACAGGAATCTGCCTTCTGCACTAAGAAAATAAAAACGAAAATATAATTGGCTGTAACAAGCATTCCTTTTCTTCTTTTAAATTTGTTTTACTATAGAACTTTAATCCTTACATCCTACAAAAGAATCCTTAAGAATGATACATTTGCTTTTTACAGTTGCTATGAAAATGATTCATAACGTTCATGTTCCAAAATGGTCATTTTATTTTTTTATTTTTCATCATAGTATTCTTTTTAATATTTTAGATTTATTGAAGCATAACTAATACAGTAAATCTGTCTATAAAATTATATTTATTCCCTTTGCTTCAGCTCCCATTAAAACAAAAGTATCTGAGTCTGAGGTACTTTCCAGCACAGAAGAACAGCATACTAAATTGGGTAATTATAGCTTTCTGCATCACAGCTATTATCCTTTCAGTCAAGCTTATTTTAGCAAAACTGGCCTGAAAACTTTGTAGGGGAATAAAACAGACGTAAACAAATTACAGTATCCTGTGTTCATTCAATATGATCCTAATTGAGAAGATCTAGTTTGCCCTGGAATGCTTTTAGTTTAGACCTATTTCTTGTATTGTTCTGGATGATCAAAAACACAAATGAAAATGTTATTTTTCTACATTAGCAAAGCTGAAAAGTAAAGTGTATGCCAGGCAAATGCAATTTTTTTAGTTTTAGATAGTGTTGAGAAGGATTAGAACCCCCATCTGGTTTTTTGCTGTTGTAGCCTCAGTTAGAGATATTTCCACTAACTCCTTATCCTGGTGACAACAGTTTACCAGAAAGAAAGTGAGGGAAAATCTGTAAGAGGAACACAGACCAAAAAAATATATATATTTTAGGGGTTCTAGCTGTTTTTATTTTTGCCTGCACTGTTGTTGCAGAGTTTCTTTTACTTCCTAACTGGTAAAACATTGGCAGCAGGACAGTAATGAGAAGAAATCTATCTAATGGAACCCCAGATAGCAGTAAAAACCCGACTGGGTTCTAATCCTTTACTATGCAATCTAAAACTGAGAAAAAGTTCAAAAGTTATACAGTTCACTCCTACATTGCATCTTCTTGTGTCACTTTTTTATAAATTGGAGGAAAAGCAGGTGAGATAATGGAAAAAACAATGTTATTTCCCTAATCTTTATAAATAGTCCACTTACAGTATAATTAAGATAAACATATGTATTGTATACAATACTGCAGTATGGCAGTTTTGTTTTTGCTCAACCTGCTTTTATTTAGATGTACCGTATTTGCCGGCGTATAAGACGACTTTTTGACCCTTGAAAATCTTCTCAAAAGTCGGGGGTCGTCTTATACGCCGGTACACATGTTAGGGGGGCTGCGGCATTAAGTACAGGGGTTTGCAGGGGCTGACGTCTCTTACCTGGATCCAGTCCCACGACGATCCGGTCCAGGAAGCGCGGCGTCTCCTTCAGTTCGGCCACTGGATGTTCGTGCGGGGCTGCGCGGCTCCGCCTCCTCACCGGTGATTGGCCGCCAGAACTGTAGCTCAGGAAAGGCACACAGGCGGCCAATCACCGGTGAGGGGGCGGAGCCGAGCGGCCCCGCGAAAATTGAGTGCCGGAGCAGCAGGTAAGTGCTCTGTGTAGAGGTGCTGCTGCAACCACATATGCTGGCTGCAGCAGCACCGTACTAGAACAGGGTCAGCAAGTGTCAGTGGGAGGAATAGTGCCCCATCATTGGTGTCACTGATACCAATGATGGGGCACTATTCCTCCCACTGACACCAACGATGGGGCACTATTCCTCCCACTGACACCAACGATGGGGCACTATTCCTCCCCCCCACTGACACCAACGATGGGGCACTATTCCCCCCCCACTGACACCAACGATGGGGCACTATTCCTCCCCCCACTGACACCAACGATGGGGCACTATTCCACCCCCCACTGACACCAATGATGGGGCACTATTCCACCCCCAACTGACACCAATGATGGGACACCATTCCTCCCACTGACACCAATGATGGGGCACTATTCCTGCCACTGATACCAATGATGGGGCACCTATTCCCCCCACTGATACCAATGATGGGGCACTATTCCTCCCACTGATGCCAATGATGGGGCACCATTCCTGCCACTGATACCAATGATGGGGCACCTATTCCCCCCACTGATACCAATGATGGGGCACTATTCCTCCCACTGATACCAATGATGGGGCACTATTCCTCCCACTGACATCAATGATGGGGCACTATTCCTCCCACTGACATCAATGGTGGGGCACTATTCCTCCCACTGGTGTGCATTGGAAGAGGGGTAGTCTTATACGGCGAGTATAGCCCAAACACTACATTTTAGCAGGAAAAGTAGGGGGGTCGTGTTATACGCCCAGTCGTCTTATACGCCGGCAAATACGGTAGGTCTTATTTATAAAGCGGTCTCTAGTCAGAGATGTAGAAACCTAGCTTTGTCATGTGAAAAAAATGGAACTATCAAAGATAGAGGTCTTTGATAAACAGGAGATAGTAACGTTTACTGAAGGATTTATAATTTTCATACTTGAAGAACTGAGTGCATTTGCAAATACTCAATCACATTTAGGGGATATTTCTAGCTTTTTATCTCCCCAAATGGGATCAGGTGTTTCAAGTGAAGATTGGTTCAAATTACCACCTTACTTACCAAGTGAAAATACACCTTTATCAAACCATCTTCGTATTTCTTAGATATTTGCAATGCTTGTAGAAAAAAACTAATTTTTTTTACCGATTTGTGTATTTAGAAAGTGAAATAAATTTACATAGCAGTAAGTGGTTAAAGAGACATCTGGAGAGGTGAAGGCCAAGGGAGAGATGAAAGATCAATTGTTCTTACTCAGCCTGTAGAAAACAATGCAGTTGATTTACTAAACGATTAGTGACTGTTCTAAGGAAAGTGGATATTTACTTCAGCTTTCTCTTAGCTTCAAGAATAAAGTGAAGCTGTGCTGTCGTTGTACATCCAATCAAAATGGCATTGTAAGGGAAAGGATAAAAGAAAATTTTCCATGCATCTTGCTATGCAGTTGAAATGAAGCTTCACTTTATTCACTAAACTTAGCTGACACTCATTTTGAAGAGTGAATTCACTTCGCTAGGTGAACAGTGTCTACTCCTTTAGTAAATTAACCCTATGAAACAAAAGTTGTTACTGTATGAGAGTTTACCTGCTAGTCCATAAACCTTGTATTCACTTCATAGCAGGAGCGGACTGACCATTTGGAAATTTGGGCACTGCCCAAGGGGGCGGGGTCAGTAGGGGGCCCCATGAGATGCCCCTGGTACCTTTCATAGGCTTTTTTGGGTGTGGTTTGAGTGTGGGGCCCCATGATCCCCTATGGCCCAGGGGCCCCCTGAGTTTTCAGTCCGCCCCTGCTTCATAGTATTACTAATGCGTAGAAAATACACATTTTCCTTGCACATGAGAAGCTGTTTGAAGCAAACAGATTTACTGTACTAAGTGCAGTAATTACCTGAGCTGCCTGTCCTTAAAGTAGAACTGATTTTCTTTTTGGATAGAGTGAATGAGGATTATAACCCTTGTTAGGGTGTTTGCCATCTGTGTCCCATTTGGAGAGATTTTCCTTCAATTCCTCTCCCAAAGTCACAACAGAAGGTGAGCAGTAATCAAAGTGAGAGAAATGCCTGCTTATCACCAGGGTTACCAAAGTAGTGTCCTTATTAAAAGATTTCCACTCTGTTCTTGTTCTAGTGTCAGGTCAGAATTTAAGGTTGTCTTCCACTGTCAGTCTTGGTGATAACAGTCACCAGGATATATAAAGAGGGTGATTCTCCCAACCAGTGCACAGGCACCTATTAAATTATGCAGGAGCGGACTGATCATTTGGAAACTCGGGCACTGCCCGAGGGCCCGGGGTCAGTAGGAGGCCCCATGAGATGCCCCTGGTACATTTTTCATAGGCTTTTTTTTGAGTTTGGGCAAGGACACAGGGGCCCCATGATCCCCTATTTCTCGGGGGCCCCATGAGTTGTCAGTCCGCCCCTGAATTTATGTGTTCAAATACCTCTCCACTCTATCCAAATCTTAAAACAAAACTTTTGCATTTAGTTATCCTTTAAGGGCATACTGTACTTGATATAATGTAGATACAAAATGCTGCCTAAATTCAACTTTCATTACAATACAGATTCATTCAGGAGACATTTATTTTCTTTGGATGTAATACTGTGAAATTAAGGAAAAATAGTTTTTGGGATTTTTTTAATTCTCTCGACTCAAATCATCAAATTGCATTACATTAATAATTACCTGATAATTTCTCAACAGAGGTGACTATGGCACCAAATGAACAATTACCACAAAGTCCAATACCTGCACAGACCAGACCTACAGTTTACTTAGGTAATAGTGCAATATTCTGAATAGGGCTTTTTACAAGATTTACAATCACAGCTGCTACTCATATAGCTCTGACAATTATATTGTCTCATCTGTTAATGCCTATCCATTCCTGTTGCTTAGCCTTCCTTAACATATTATTACTTTGCTATATGGCAGTTCCCAACAACATATATTGAGTTTTTCTGGGGACAGGGCTTACCTATGATAATTAAGACTTTTCTTTGAATACACTATTAATAATAGAAGTTTCAACAGGTTTGAAATATTTTACCCAAGCTTTGTTGAACAAAATATTACATGTTCAGATACATAGAGAAAGCATATAGGATGTTACAGGAACAAATAATTAATCTAACATTAAAATGAACAGGAATTTATAGGGTCTTGGAGTCATAAAGCAATGGCCACTGGACTTGGGGCTTTTGGAGTTATAAGAACTATTAGACCCCTAAAAAAAAGTATAAATGCAAGATAAACATTCAGAACTATATATTCAAAGGGCTGTATTTTTTCTACACTGAGTAATGCAAGTTGTAGGTGTAGAGTACAAAAAAGGATAGAGGTAGAAGGGCGTGAGGGTAGGAAGGAGTGTGGGCTGAAATGAGGTCAGGGGTAAAAAGGAAAGAAAGTAGCATAGCAGGTAAGAGGAAAGAAGAATAGGTAAAAGAAGAATTGGAAAAAAAAGGTAGAAATAGGGGAGGAATAATTGAGATATAGGGTAAACAAAATAAGGAGCCAGCTTATATTATGAGCACTGATCACAAGCTCTTTGACTTCATAACATAAGAGTTTGTGACTTAAAGGTAGAGGTTATCAATCTAAAGTTGCCAAAATTGCTTGAATTGTCCCAGTCAGTAAGCTTTTCAAAGAATATAATCTGGGAAATTGTTTTTGAGTTCCTCAAGGATGATTTTCAAGCTTTATCTATTGTCTTTTTTGTTGTGGCAATGATGTGGGTCAAGAGTTTGAACTCCCCCCCCCCATACTGTAGTTTCCAGGTTCTTTACAAATGAGTGAACCCCATAACTTTTGAGGTAGTAGTCTGCCTATTACCTTGTATTTAATTTGGAACACATAGTGGTTGATTTACTAAAACTGGAGCACTCAGAATCTAGTGCAGCTGTGCATGGTAGTCAATTCTACTACTAAATTCAGCTTGTTCAATTAAGCTTTGACAATAAAACCTGGAAGCTGATTGGTGTCTATGCACAGCTGCAGCAAATTCTGTGTGCAACAATTTTAGTAAATCTCCCCTATAGTTCCAAAATATGAAAAACTTTGGGACACCATATATGGCATAAGGTGCAAATTGACAAGCATCCTCTAAAGTAGATCATAGGATATACGTGAACTACTTTAGATATTCTGGCTTTTACCAAATATCACTGTAGCAAGAGTTTATAGTTTTCTTCAAATGCCACAGGCAATGCTGACTTTTATAAAGTCTTTTTCTCAACTTGCACTCCATTAGTTCAATAATTAATTCTCCAATAACTCAGACAGCTTTTGGAGACTAGGGATTAGCACAGTGATTTTTACAAAATTGATATTGCTGCGAAACTATTGATTTTGTAGTTGGTAAAATTTTGCTGAACTGATTATATCACTGCTACTTTTCCAAGCAAATATCTGGGTTGGCAAAGGCACTTGGCACAAACAAAATGGATTTATATCTATTGTGGCTATTGATGAGTATAGATATACACTATATTGCCAAAAGTATTGGGACAACCCTCCAAATCATTGGATTCAGGTGTTCCAATCACCTCCATGGCCACAGGTTTAAAAAATCAAGAACCTAGGCATGCAGACTGCTTCTACGAACATTTGTGAAAGAATGGGTCGCTCTCAGGAGCTCAGTGAATTCAAGCGTGGTACCGTGATATATTGCCTCCTTTGCAATAAGTCCATATTTGAAATTTCCTTGCTACAAAATATTCCACGATCAACTGTTAGTGGTATTATAACAAAGTGATAGCAACTGGGAACAACAGCAACTCAAAGCACGAATTGGTAGATCGCATAAAATGACAGAGCGGGGTCAGCGCATGCTGAAGCACACACTGCGCAGAAGTCAACAGCTGTCTGCAGAGTCAATAGCTAAAGACCTCCAAACTTCATGTGGCCTTTGCACTTCACAACAACAGTGTGTAGAGAACTTCATGGAATGGGTTTCCATGGCCGTGCAGCTGCATCTAAGCCTTATATCACCAACTGCAATGAAAGGTGTCTGATGCAGTCGTGTAAAGCACACCACCACTAGACTATAGATCAGTGGAGACGTGTTCTATGGAGTGATGAATCATGCTTCTCTGTCTGGCAATCTGATGGACTTGTCTCAGTTTGGTGGTTGCCAGAAGAATGGTACTTGCCTGACTCCATTGTGCCAAGTGTAAAGTTTGGTGGAGGGGGGATTATGGTGTGGGGTTGTTTTTCAGGGGTTGTACTTGGCCCCTCAGTTCCAGTGAAGGGAACTCTTAAGGCATCAACATACCAAGAAATTTTGGACAATTTAATGTCCCCAACTTTGTGGGAACAGTTTGGGGATGGCTTCCTGTTCCAACATGACTGTGCACCAGTGCACACAGCTAGGACCATAAAGATATGGATGAGTGAGTTTGTAGTGGAGGAACTTGACTGGTTTGCACAGAGTCCTGACCTCCACCCTACAGAACACATTTGGAATGAATTAGAGTGGAGACTGTGAGACCTTGTCTTACATCATTATTATTATTATACAGGATTTCTATAGCGCCAACAGTTTTCTCTGCGCTTTACAATATAACGGGAGACAATACAGCAACAATACAGTTCAATACAAGAGGGAAAGGAGGGCCCTGTTCCTTGGAGCTTACAATCTAGGAGAGTGCCTTACCTCACAAATGTGCTTCCAGAAAGATGGTCAAACATTCCCATAGACACACTCCTAAACCTTGTGGACAGCCTTCCCAGAAGAGTTGAAGCTGTTATAGCTGCAAAGGTTGGGCCATCTCAATACTGAACCCTACGGACTGAGACTGGGATGCCATGATAGTTCATGTGCGTGTAAAGGCAGGCGTCCCAATACTTTTGGTAATAATGTGTATATTTATTAGGAATATAGTTCATACTCTTTCAGCTAGATTGGACAATAGTCTCATATTCACACATGACTACTATCTAACTGCATAAGGGAGGAACAAGCAGGTTTCAGAAACCTTCCCTGATCATTATTTCCTACACACAGGTGACTTAATTTGGACTGCAGTAAAAAGTTTTCTTCATTCTAAAATGTTTGTCATACAGAATATCAGACTTCATGTAGCTTTTTGACTAATAAAAAAACATAATTTCAGATCTCAGGAAATATACAACATTATTCACTTTTACATCTGTTAATCTCTTAACCAAAGCTATTACAAATTTACTAACCCCAGATCAGAATGAAAAACTCAGTATGTAGATAACTCTGTGGATGTAGTTATCTGCCAGGAAGAGATCTATGTTTTAAAATAGACACGAGAGTCCCACATTATTTGGCAGAAACCCTTGGGTTAGTATTCCATCTTTCCTCAAGGAAAGACCAGACTGTTTCCACAGCCTCTATTTCTCATTATCTGCATATTTTAATTCAATAAACACATGCTTTCAGTCATTTCTCCTCCACATATCATGCCACAGAAACTGCCATATGATGTTACTTCTTTTTTCATAAAGTCATGTATAATTAGTATTTTGGAACATATGATTTTTTACTGCTTCCACTGGTTTAAAAAAAAGCATGTTTAAAAAATGGAATTTCATTGTATTATGTTTATATGATGTGGCAAGTTTGTGTAAACTAGCCATGATATTTTCCCACAAGTTTTTTTTCTTTAACAGTCCAAAGAAAATTAAACTTTCTGACTATAATTCCATCCAAGTCATTAGTCTCCCAGAAATATTCAATATTTCCTTATCAGAAGTGCATCCAGCAATAAAACATGCTGAACCAAAGTCATATGACATACTGAAAAGTTCTAGTAGCCAAACTGTTTTTTTAACTAAAACACAGTGGGGTTGTTATGTTCGTTATTTTACATATAGTTTACTATGCTGAGACTCTGTTTCTCTTAATACGTTTGAGGGATAATTAGCAGCACACTTTATTTATAGCTACGCTTCAGGACACCCTATGGAAAGCGCGTTAGACCTGTTTATTGCCACAATATTGTGAGAATATTGTTTCCACTTGAATACATTTGGATATGCTTCTGCTTTTCTATCTAGTTGTTCATTACCTTAGCTCAAAATTATTTTCAAATAATTAAAAATGTTCAGTTCACAAATAAATATATTATAAGTGTGCATTCCTTATTTTTTTTGCACAAAATAGTCATTTAACAATTGAATACCTTTGTTTATCAAGAATCTGTGTTTTTCCATGAAATGTTTTATTTAATCTCAGATTATTCTGTTTACTGTTCTCTTTAATAGACACCTCAAAGAAACAATCAGTTATTTAGATGGCGAATTAACTTCTGTATATAAAAATCTTTGACCTGAAAACAATTTCACTCACACAAATTAGCAACTGAGGCACAATCATGAAAATTATGTATGCCTTTTATGTTGGCGAGTTGACCCCAATATCCCATTAGCGTAAAGAATAAAAAAAGGAAGGGAATACAAACGTATGAGAAATCATTTCAATTACTTTGAAATGCTTTTTTATAAGAAGAACATTAAGGAGAAACAAAGAATCACAATTAGAGGCCTATGATTACAATAATGTATAATTTGCCAAACTATTTAATTTGTACTGTCAGTGTGAAGTTTTAATTATTTTATTAACATTAAAACACCAAAAAGAATGAATATATGAAAACATACCAGGTGGTGTCACAGCAGTCCTCATGGACCAGGAAGTTTACCAGAGAGCACAAAGGAGGGACCAGCAGATGAATGAGCAGTATGTAAAAAACCAAAATGGAGAAAGAGAGGAAGAGAAAGCAGCACAGTCTAAGTGTTGTAAATAAATAAAAATCTATAAAATAAAGCGTATTGCACTCACATCTAATATAAATATAATGTCATATCTATAAAACCTCCAGCATCTATCCAGATGGTCAATGGTACAGCAACAAGCCCCACTAGGTGGGTGTAATGTCAGAAACTTGAAGCCAGGAAGTAAACCAGAGGAAACACCAGGAAGAGCCAGCATGAGTAACAGCAATGTGTATAGCTAAGATGGCAGCCACTGTGGACACCTAGAAAGTCACTGTGCACTATAATCCTTTTGTCTAGGTGTGCACTTTATATACCTGATAACAATAGGGTAGTGAGTGCAGTTTGTTTATTTCTTTTATTACCATTGCTTTAGAAAAATTCAAGATTAAATCTATCCAAAACTGATCACTGAGCTGTAAATTTACTAAAGTCAGTCACATGCGAAAATTCTTGAGCTCTACCTCTCCAACAAAAACCCCTCCTCAACTGTACTTCCAATTCCGTATCTGCTGTGACTTGTTTTTTGCATGGGTTAAAGTAGATCTAAAGCCAAAACGTTTTTTCTCACTTTGGATAGAGTAGGGAATGGTTAAAACAGACAAAAGTATGTGAGAATACATCTCTCCAAAGTGAAAAAAATCTTCCATCTGAACAAGTGTCTCCATTGGAAGATTTCCTTTTCAAAGACAATGGTTCCCAAGAAAATTATAAAGGACAAATTCCCATAATGTGTTCACAGACAACAATGAAAGACTTTTGAAAGGAGAGGGTTAATGGCACTGTATCACTAAAAGCCACTTTCTTATATTGCAGAGTTATTAAAAAGTCTAGATGCCAGTTTTTTCCAATATAAAACCCGAAGGAGACAATGTGTTTTCAGAGTTGGTGTGTCGCCCTCTTCATCAGGGCTTGAGAAATTGGAAACAATGTATAACTTTTAGTGTGTCAGGCTATTCATTATCAGCTGGTAGAGGGTGCCTCAACCAGCTGCTGATGAACAGCCTGACAAACTAAAGTTTGTTTTTTTAAATCAAAGTATCTCTTCATTATGTCCAAATACATATTTTTCACTGTGTTTGCAATCTAAGATTTTACTTTGGAAAAAACTGGTATCTTGACTATTTTTATTTTGCAGTATGGCACTTCAATGACATATTTATTCAACAGTAGGAGCCTGACAGAGATTCTAACACGTTCCCAATTTATCCAGAATTTTGAAAAGGTGTTTGCATGTGGTACACTTTAATACTGTCATTATTTAGTGGAGAAGAGTTCAAATCTTTGTCACCTTCATATCTCTTTGACAGAGGCCCAACCTTTTCTTACTCTAACCAAAATGCTGTGTCTCCATGATCAGAGTGAATACTGACAGGTCTTTCAATTTTTATTGTTTCTTAAATGGCTACAAATTCATTGTGCATGATGTAGCTATCAATCTCTCTTTGCCCCTCCTTAGTAAGGGCAGAATGGGACAGAATTAATGACAAAGCAGAGTTTTTGTATATTGCTGTTACAAGTCAGAGGCCACTAGCTGGGGATTAATGGGACACCTTTAGGGCCTATGTCAATAGGCTTTAGACTTGTGTTAACGGCATCAGTGTGACATCAGTCTGAGACTCATCAGAGAATATTCAGAATTCACTGAAAATTGTATTTGAAGTGCAGTTGACCTCCTTCGGAACTGCATTTCATCTGCTTATCTGCTTCAAGCAGGATTTGCATTCTTAAACCGGTAGTAAACCACAAATAAATAAAACAAGATAATCTTCTCCCTGCAAGTTAAGAGCATAATGTGCTGGTATGCATCGCATACTAGCACATTATGAAAGACCTACCTAAAAAATGAAGCTCTCCAGTGGAGCACTGTCACATCTCCCCAGGGCTTCCATCTTCACCCGGTCTTCTTTCTGGGTTCATGGGCTGTGGCTGTTTGACTGGCCAGGCCGCGATGACATCACTTCCACACATGCATGTGGGAGTCTCGGTATGAGGCACGGCTCTCTCAATGGATATCATTCCGTCCATAGAGAGTGCAGTGCATACTCGGTGACATCACCAGCACTGCTAAAGTAAATATCTCCTAAACTGTGCACTTTTAGGAGATATATACTGGACCTACAGGTAAGGCTTATTATAGGGTTACCTGTCAGTATAAATAAACAACACTTTACTACCACTTTAAAGACTGGAAATCCACATGAAGTGAACAAAAGTCAATGGACACAGACCCTTACTGCAACCAGTGGGAGTTACACATATATGTGCATATTTGGGTGCACCTTCATTTACACACCACAGTATACGTAGATCACTACTGCTAATGGACATGTACAAGAATTTACACATGCATTCCTGCAGGCCCATGGTCTATGCATTGACAAAAAATAGGTATCAAATACTTTGACATGGAAATGCTCAGCCATTTAGGGTGTGGATCTATACCATTAGACATTAAGGGATTGAAGAGGGATTATCTAAATTATAGAAAGTAGATCTCAGGCTGTTGTAAACAAATGCTAATTTATATACACTACATTTTACCTCTATGCTAAGCTATGCAAACTTTTTTTTTCTAACAGCCTCACCTACAATGTCACCAGTTTCATTTACAAAGGAACTTCCAATTGTACAGCCAGAGACTGTACTGGGTAAACAAAGAGGCTTCATCATGCTATCACAGCAATACTCAGCTGCTTTCACACTTTCACCTTTCTATGGCTGTATAAATTAAATGAAGAGCTTCTAAAGTTAGCAAAATTAATTAAAGTTAGTGCAGTCCATCTTGAATGGCTTAAAAATTTAATTCTCTGCATACTACTTTTGGCTTTTAGTTTTGTTTGCTAATTGCAGTATGATATTTATGTATTTTTTATTTGAAGAAAATACTTCCAAAGCACCATTATTTCATCATTTCTCTTATCCCATCCATATTCACAAGATAAAATGCTGATTACTCCTTTTAGCAAGTGATCAACTGGCTCCTTATGTGCCTCAACCAATGACAGTTTCACACATAATGCCTGGTAAAGTTTATATTTGTTTTCTCAACATGAAAAACATTTTTATTGTGGTAAAAGCATATATTAAGGGTGACCATGTGTTGTTTAGCTGCAACTAATAAATATTCCTAATAGCCATTTACAAAGAGTTTTAGTTTGAAATGATCACCAGATGTCATAGAAAGTCCATGTGTGACTGACAGCAAATCGATTTATGCAGATATCAATGCAGACAAAGACTGAAATGTATTGACAGCAGTATTCCAAATATTGGCATTAGCCAAGTGTGCTACATCACATCATTATAGGCTATATTTATCAAAGTGATAAATACAATAAAACAACAAAAAAAATCATATAATAAAGGTGCTGTGCTCCCCCTTCTACACATAAATACTGTACTCTTATTTATTTATGTACACTGCTCCAAAAAATTAAAGGAACACTTTAAAAACACATCAGATCTTAATGGGGAAAAATATCATGCTGGATATTTATACTGACATGGACTGGGTAAAGTGTTAGGAATGTGAGGATACTCCATCATTTGATGGAAATGAAATTGATCAACCTACAGAGGACTGAATTCAAAGGCACACTCGAAAATCGAAGTGAAAAAATGATGCAGCAGGCTAGTCCATTTTTTTTAGTAGTTTGTATGGCCCCCACGTGCTTGTATGCATGCCTGACAATCTCAGGGCATGCTCCAAATGAGACCAGGGATGCTGTCCTGGGGTATTTTCTCCCAGATCTGGACCAGGGCATCACTAAGCTCCTGGACAGTCTGAGGTGCAACTGGGTGGGGTTTGATGGACCGAAACATGATATCCCAGAGGTGTTCTATTGGATTTAGGTCAGGCGGTATCAATTCCTTCATCCTCCTGGAACTGCCTGCATACTCTCGCCACATGAGGCTGGGCATTGTCATGCACCAGGAGGAAGCCAGAACCCACTGCACCAGCGTAGGGTCTGACAGTGGGTCCAAGGATTTCATCCCGATACCTAATGGCAGTCAGGGTGCCATTGTCTAGCCTGTAAAGGTCTGTGCGTCCATGGATATGCCTCCCCAGACCATCACTGACCCACCACCAAAAGGGTCATGCTGAATGATGTTACAGGCAGCATAATGTTCTCCATGGCTTCTCCAGACCCTTTCACGTCTGTCACATGTGCTCAGGGTGAACCTGCTCTCACCTGTGAAAAGCACAGGGCACCAGTGGTGAACCTGCCAAGTCTGATGTTCAATGGCAAATGCCAGTTGAGCTCTATGGTGCCGCGCAGTGAGTGCAGGACCCACTAGAGGACTTCGGGCCCTCAGGCCACCCTCATGAAGTCTGTTCCTAATTGTATGGTCAGAGACAATCACACCAGTGGCCTGCTGGAGCTCATTTTGTAGGGCTCTGGCAGTGCTCATCCTGTTCCTCCTTGCACAAAGGAGCAGATACCAGTCCTGCTGATGGGTTAAGGACCTTCTACAGTCCTGTCCAGCTCTCCTAGAGTAACTGCTAGTCTCCTGGAATTTCCTCCATGCTCTTGAGACTGTGCTGGGAGAAACAGCAAACCTTCTGGCAATGGCACGTATTGATATACCATCCTAGAGGAGTTGGACTGCCTGTGCAACCTCTATAGGGTCCAGGTATCGCCTCATGCTACCAGTAGTGACAATGACCCTAGCCAAATGCAAAACTAGTGAAAAAAACAGTCAGAAAAGATGAGTAGGAAAAAATGTCAGTGGCCTCCACCTGTGAAACCATTCCTGTTTTGGGGTCATCTCATTGTTGTCCATCTAGTGCACCTGTTGTTAATTAACACCAAAGCAGCTGAAACTGATTAACAACCCCCTCTGCTACTTAACTGACCAGATCAATATCCCTGGAGATTAATTGACTTGATGCTATACTCTGATTAAAAAGTGTTCCTTTAATTTTTTTTGAGCAATGTACATAAGGAAATTGCAGCACTTAATAAGCACGCAAAATAACTGTTATTAACTTAGATGGGGGGTATATGGTTCACAGTGGTATCAGCCTCCAAGGAGTAGGAACACCACAGTAGTAGCATAATCACAGGATGTTTGTAGTTTTTAACCTTCATTTATCAAAGTGTCTGGTGTCAACAAATACTAATATTCAGTTTCATTTTTCATCAGTCATTTTCCAGTGCAATCTTGAACTTGATAGGTTGTCTTGTGGCAACCAAGCCATATCTTACATCCCATACTTACATAAATGATTTCATCATCTGAAATTTGTAGTGCAATGTAGTTCAGTGGTCGCCTTTTCAGCAGGTGAGGAGCCGATATCCAGTGAACCTCCACAGCACCAAAGCTCCACAGTGAGCAGTGATTTACTTCCAGAGCCGCACAGGACCATAGCAAGTAAAGGTAGATTTTAATTTCATGCATTACACAGGCCCTCACCACAAGCACTGCAATTAGTAATTCCTTGGTCACAGCAGGGTTAAGTTACACATATATGTGCATATTTGGGTACACCTTCATTTACACACCACAGTATAGATCACTACTACTAATGCACATGTACAAGAATTTACACATGTATTCCTGCAGGCCCGTGCTCTATGAACTGTTAAAAAATAGCCATAAAATACTTTGACATGGAAATACTCAGCCAGCCAATTAGGGTGTGGATCTATAACATTAGATATTAAGGGATTGAAAGAGGGATTATCTGAATTATAAAAAGTAGATCTCAGGCTGTTGTAAACAAATGCTATTGTATATATTTTACATTGACCTCTATGCTAAGATATGCAAACTTTTTTTTTCTAACAGCCTCACCTACAATGTCACCAGTTTCATTTACAAAGGAACTTCCAATTGTACAGCCAGAGGCTGTACTGGGTAAACAAAGAGGCTTCATCATGCTATCACAGCAATACTCAGCTGCTTTCACACTGTCACCTTTCTGTGGCTGTATAAATTAAATGAAGAGCTTCTAAAGTTAGCAAAATTAATTAAAGTTAGTGCAGTCCATCTTGAATGGCTTAACAATGAAATTCTCTGCATACTACTTTTGGCTTTTAGTATTGTTTGCTAATTGCAGTATGATATTTATGTATTTTTTCTTTGAGGAACATGCTTCCAAGGCACCATTACTTCATCATTTCTCTTATCCCATCCATATTCACAAGATAAAATGCTGATTATTTCTTTTAGCAAGTGATCAACTGGTTCCTTACGTGCCTCATCCAATGACAGTTTCAAACATAATGCCTGCTAAAGTTTAGATTTTTTTTCCTCAATATGAAAAACATATTACTGTGGTAAAGGCATATGTTAAGGGTGACCACATGTTGTTTAGCTACAACTCATAAATAGTCCTAATAGCCATTTACAAAGAGTTGTAGTTTGAAATGATCACCAGATGTCATGGAAAGTGCATGTGTGACTGACAGCAAATCAATTTAATCAGATATCAATGAGGAGAAAGACTAAAATGCATTTACAGCAGTATTCCAAATATTGGCATTAGCCAAGTGTACTGCATCACATCATTATAGGTGTCATTTACCAAAGTGATAAATGCAATAAAAAACAATACAAAAAAACAACAAAAATTGCATACAATAAAAGTGCTGTGCTCCTCTTATCTACATAAATACTGTGCTCTTACAATATTTATTTATGTATATAAGGGGATGGCATCACTTTACTGTATTTATCACAGAATAACTGTTATGAATTTAGATAGGGGGGATATATGGTTCACAGTGCTAGCAGCCTCCAAGGAATAGGAACACCACAGTAGTAGCATGCATAATCACAGGATGTTTGTAGTTTTTCACCTTCATTTACCAAAGCGTCTGGTGTCAACAATTAGTAAGATTCACTTTCATTTTTCATCAGTCATTTTCCAGTGCAATCTTGAACTTGATAGGTTGTCTTGTGGCAACCAAGCCAGGTCTTGCATCCCATACTTACATAAATGATTTCATCATCTGAAATTTGTAGTACAATGTAGTTCAGTGGTCACCTTTTCAGCAGGTGAGGAGCCGATATCCAGTGAAGTTCCACAGCTCCAAAGCTCCACAGTAAGCAGTGATTTACTTCCAGAGCCGCACAGGACCATAGCTGGTAAAGGTAGATTGAGTTCATACATTATATCTGATATATTTCATTAGTTTACAATAATCTTGGTGTCTGCAGTCTCATTGAATGACAATGAAATACAATAGTACTCAGAATGGTCATTTTTTTTTTGTGTTTTTTTTTCTTGTGGCGGAGCTCTGGGCCTTAAAGAGTAACTCCAATTTTGTTTAGAAAAAACATTCCCCTCTGGGTGATCTATGCAAGGATTTTAAGAAACTTTGTTGCAGATGTTTTCTGAAGGAATAGCTGTTTGTTTGTCTGTGTCCATTTGTAGAGTGAATCTGTATGGGAGTAGTTTCATAGTTATCAATCAGCTGCTGCACCTGCAGCACTCTCATGAGGAAATTGGCAGAGTCTGCATCCCTTTAGATGTGATTTTACTTTAGGAGTATCTCAACAAAAATTAAATTTTTGTTGCAGAAGGTGCCAAAAATCTGACTTTTATCTTAGTGCAGATTTCTGGAAAAATCAGTTAAGACCAATCAGATAAGCAGGAAATGATGTTGTATATGCTATATTATTTTATTATTTGCTATTTTTTCCCCAAGAAAGTAGAATTACCCTTTAAGAAAAGAAAAAATAGTTTGTCTATTCAGAAAAAAATCACAAATTTGGTTGCTACTTGTTCCCCCCCCAGAGGGAGTAGGAATTGTTCTTCCTCTGCAGCTTCACCACTGCTTGGAACACAGTAAGGCTAGGTTCACACCTATGCAGTTTGCGTTTGATCCGTTTCTGCAGTGCGTTTTGCGTTTTTGCACTTGCATTTTTTTGACACGTTTTTGATGCATTTTGCTTTTCTTCTTGCTGCTAGGCAGATATAAAACACAAAATGCATCAGATGCTCCAAAAACCTGGCAAAAAACAACTACATGCTTTTCTGCAGCATTTCCATTGAAGTCTACCAAAAAATGCAACTTTTTGCGCTGAAAAAAAGTCCCTGACCCTTTCCAAAAAATGCAAGGGGGGAAAACGCGGAGATCTGAACTTGTCCCATAGGAAATAATGTTAAATGGACTGTACTGCATTTCTGCAATACGCAAAATGCAAAATGCTGCGGAAAACACTTAGGTGTGAACCTAGGGTTAGGGTGATCTTTCCTAGCCTTAGCTGTGCTTGGCTATAGTTTGCTTTTTGGCTCAGCTACTGTTGTCAGAGGGATATTGAGTTCTCACTGTTGTAAAATTGGTCAAAGGTTTAAAGTGCTAGTACAACCTAAAAAAAAAACAATAATAATGTTATAATGCGCTAGTATGCATCACATACTAGCACATTATGAAATACTTACCTTAGAATGAAGGTCTTCAGCGGCCTGCTTTCACCGCTGACAGAGCTGCCATCTTCAACCAGTCTTCCTTCTGGGTTCGCAGGCTCTGGCCGCTTGATTGGTCAAGCCACGAAGACATGACTCCTGTGGTTGTGTGCGGGAGTCTTGGCCACGGCACAGAGCTCTTAAGGAATGGCCATTCCTTCAGAGTGCATGTGCCAGTGATGTCATCGGTTGCAGGGACACGTAATATCTCCTAAACGGTGCATATTCCTTGTACCTACAGGTAAACTTTATTAAAAGCTTACTTGTAGGTACAAGTGTCTAGTGGGAGTTTACTTCCACTTGAAGGTCACATAAATCATGTATCATAATGCTGCAAAGTATTTCTTACAGGAAGAATTTAGTTTGGCCAGTGACAACAGTGGTTCAGCTGCTGGTGGCATATATCCAAGCCAGCAGTAGAGATCCAGCAAGGGCTGGTAGTTGGTATCATCCAAAAATGGAAAAATGCATTAGGGCAGAGTTGTCCTGTAATGTATTTGCAATGATCTTTACATTAGCGGTAGTGATACCTGTGTTTTATTCAACGGTTAAGCCTGTTTATGTTGTAGTGACATTATTAAGAATACTTTCCCTGCAGATCCTAATATAAAAATATTAGTAGCATCCAACCTTTGTTCTAACATTAATAATCCAAACCTGTATACTCTAGTGTTGTTAAAGTAAAAGTAATTTTAGAAATTTTAACACAGTTTAATACTTTTATAATATCTGATTTCCTAATGGCTTTATCGCCAGGAGATGTACCAGAGTTTATTGATGTACCACAAGTGAGCACTGATATGCCTATTAAACTGCGCACAACGTCTGGTAAAGGTACATGTGATAAAAGTGTTTGCTTATGCATTGATATGAACATTACTCTTTTGCTGTCCTGTACGTCTAAAAGACTTAAAAACTGAACCAGGCTTTGCTGGTACATTGTACATTTATGTATACCATTCATTTTTTTTATACCACCATTGCCCCTCATTCTTCTATCTTGACAAGTTTTCTTTTATTCTACACTGTGCATGATGGCTTAAAAAAGTATATTAGATATAATATACTCATTTAGGTTGTGCTTTTTCAACAGGGATGCATCCTAAATCAACTCTAGTGTCAAAATTGAGTACACACTTGCCTTTCCAAAAGCACACAACTACCCTAGGTAAAGACATCTATTCTATAGTATTCCTTTTCATGTGGCCAGCCAAGAATAATGTGGTAGCTGAGTTGATAAGTGTAGGTCATCATGAAAATATGTAGCTCAATTTTCAGTTGCAGAAGGCAAACACTAGTCAGCCGCCATTGCTGCATTCCTCATAAAAATGTTAGTTGCCTGGTTGTCTCTGGTCTCAGCAGTTTTTTATAGCATATTGGGAGGTAAGGTGCACCGGATCTCTTAGAAAAACTGAGAATGCCATTTGGGTATCTTGTCTGTTGTGTGTGTCTTCAATAGGCAATTCTCCAAATAACAGAGTTGGAAATCCAAAGAAGAATGTTTGGAAATGTTAGGTGGAAAGTACCAAACTAATTGATCATTTTTAACCACATAGACCAGCTTTCCAACATTTTATTATTTCACTAGCCCTGACAAAAAGAAGGGTTAGGGGCTATAAGCACTTTTTTCTGAATGCATTAATAAAAATAAAGAACTTTTTTCTGAATACATATTAAAGTATTGATGCCCTTTGGATCAACATGGGCAACTAGCAATTTTAGAAGGAAAGTTTGTTAATGGCTATCCATGTATTTTCTCAGTGTAGATTTCTTTACTGACTAATCCTAAATGTGACAATACCTCCTTATTAAATAAAAATAAAAAAGGCACAAGTCCCAAGATACAGTTGTGATTTTACACAAAGTAAAGTGCACAAAAAAAAGTTGTATAGCAGAACATATAGACAAAAATACATAGCACAAAATGAGAGAAAAAAAACAGCCTAGAGCATACCCAAGTCTAGTCCAGACATAAATAAATAAGTAAATAAAGGCATTATAGCAGGCAGCAATGATCCCTCACTGCATACAGGTCCTGTGTGTAAAAGAATAGTCAGTGCCACTATATCTAAAAGGGCCTGCATCCTAACTAAATATCAGGCTCATATGGACTAACCAACATGTCCAAATGATTTTCTGAGAAGAAAAATACCATTAACATCAAAAGCAAACCTCTGCAAATGTATTCATGTACATTAAAGTGCATAGGTGTGAAAGGGCCCTCAATGTTTTCCCTAAAGCCTAACTCCGAGCAAATAAAAAATAATGTAGTTTTGTCTAGGGAAGAGAAGAAACAGTTTTAATTACCTCATCCTTCTCCCCCCCCCCCCCCCCCCCAGCAGTCAGCACTTATCCATGATCCAGTGGTGGCTTTCCCCCTGCTCTAGTCTTGATAATGTCAGGACTCTAGCCTGCTAGAAAGGGGTGCAGAAGCTGCAGGGACTGGTCTAGCTGCAAGAAGGAGCAGAGGATTGCTTTTGCTCCCCTAGACAAAAACAGGTAATAATATTCCACATTTTTGGTGCTTTACACATGCTGCACCCTTTCACTATCTTTGATTTTCCATCAGTTCAAAAGTACTTGCCGCAAATCATATAAAGTTACATGTGCTGTGCTTGCACCATTTATTAGAAAAGGCTGCTAACTTGGTAGTCTAACCTCCAAGGGAATATTGTAATGTGTTATAACAAACTTCCCCAAAGGAAAGAGATAAAGTATTTTTTTTGTCATAAATAATTGTATAAATAATAAAATATACATGAAACCTTACTGTCTCATGAAAATTAGACATATAGTAAATATATACATTGCATATATCATTAAAAACAATTGTGAAAAAGGCACAGCCAAAGCACAAGCACAAGCTCCAAAGAGCTTACCACCATGACATGTCACCTATGTGTAAATGTCACAAGTCAAAACAAAAACTGTAATGCAGTCTTATTTGAAAACCAGAGATCATTTCTAAAACAGTGAAAGGAATCCTAAAATGTGTTTATTACACTGAAAGGAAAGCACACCAAAGCTTCCCAGTATTTTGTGGTATTATCATAAGATATACAATATAGCAACATCTCTATAGTATTATAGCAATCAGTTTAGATTAAGAATACTGTAAATAGAAGCTAATTAGTAAATTTGACTAGGCTCAACTAGATAGAATTGAATTCACAGGTGGAAAAACTTTCATACTTAGATCATCAATGTCCCTTGAGACTTTGTTCCCACCAGAAGTGCAAGTGGAAATGAGCTCTAAGAGAGCACCTATGATTGCCTGCAACCTTATTGGTTGTCAACACTGCCTTACCTTCTACCCTATGATAAGAAGTTTTGCTTTAATTTGGGATAACCAAGAGAAAATTTTGAGGTCCTGTCCTACAGCCCTGAAATAAAGCAACCAAAAGACCCAGAGTGATCCAGCATACCACGCAATTCAAATTGGTGTTTTGTTTCTTTAGAACTTTTTCATAAAACAGAACAAATTGAAAAAGAGATGTAAAAAAGGGTAGCAAAAACAACAAAAAAAAAAGACATAATATAAATTCAAGGCAACAGTAAGTAAGCTACTAATGCTATCAAGTAAACTGTGCTCAAAATTAGAAAGTAGAGATGCACCAATACCGAAGGCCTGAGTTCACACAGGAGCAGTGCGAGAAACCTCCCTGCAGGCATCCCATGCTGAGTTGAAGAGTGGGCGTGTGGCAGTGTATACTATGGTGGCAGATGTTCCATATTCTCAGTACTTTGAGGTGCAATTTGCGTCTATACAAAATGTATGGATGCAAATTGCACCACAAAGAATAGCATGTGATTTGAACAGGAATGCAATTCCTGTCCAATTCTCATGCGATTACTTCACTGCTCCTGTGTGAACCCAGGCTATCTTAGCCTGAGTTCACACAGGAGTGGTGCAGGGAGGTATCTTGTAGTGTAGAGTGGGCGTGTGGGGATGTATACTATGGTGGCTGATGCTCCATATTCCCAGCAGCAGGATGTTAAATCCCCGCTGCTTTCTCTCCTCTCCTTGCAGGGATGACAGTTCAGGTTAGAAGGCTTTTGATTGGTCAACACCGTCACATGGACATTGCTGACCAATCAGTTCCCATATAGCCTGTACTGTCATCGCTGCAAGGAGAGGAGAGAAAGCGGTTGGGATTTCAAACCTGTGAAGCGGCTTTCTCTCCTCTCCTAGCAACGATGACAGCATGGGCTAGACAGCATCTGATTGGTCAGTGCTGTCCATGTGACGGTGCTGATCAATCAAAAGTCCTCTAGCCTGAACTGTCATCCCTGTATGGAGAGGAGAGAAAGCAGCGGGGATTTAACATCCTGCTGCTGAGAATATGGAGCATCGGCCACCATAATATACATCCCCACACACCCACTCAGGATACCTCCCTGCACCACTCCTGTGTGAACTCAGGCTAAGACAGCCTGGGTTCACAGAGGAGCAGTGAAGTAATCGCATGCGAATTGGGCAGGAATTGCATTCCTATTCAAATCACTTGCTATTCTTTGTGGTGCAATTTGCATCCATACATTTTGTATAGATGCAAATCGCACCTCAAAACATCGGTACTCAGTATTGGCGAGTACATGACTGAAAGTATTGGTACTTGTACTTTCCAATCAAAAAAAGGTATCGGTGAATCCCTATCAGAAAGTTAATTCAGTTTATGTTAAGTGCTCTGGAATCCCCTGCCACTCATATTTCACTGACCACCTTTCCAGCTGAGTAGGAGGAGCATACAGATTAGAATTCGTGAAGTTTGTTCAGTGTTCTTTGTCTCTTGTAAATGTATCACCAATCACATTCAGTCTCCCAGGGGGAGTGGGGGTTACATTAGTGTGGTGACTGTGAGAATCCACTTAGAACATGTCTGCAGAGGTGTTCCAGCACCCACAACAAAAAGGGGTGCTCCAAGATCACCAGAATACAGAAAAAAAGAGAATGAGGTGGGCTTTCACACTACAGCAAAGCCTGCATGAAAAACAGAATTATGGGTCAGGTAGTCTTTTCTACCTGTATGCATGCCAGGGCTTCATTTTCAGTGTACCTTTTATCTTGCTAGCATCAGCTCAAGTGTGGTTTCTATTTTCCATGGGTCACTGCAATTTGAATATCTTCATTACTCAGTTTTCCCTATTGCATCTCTTCAGCTTTTCAAAACAGAAAAACAGAAGTCAAGGAAAGAGTAAACACCTTTCTACTGGCCTCTCGTAAATGGGCACACCGAAGCTAGCTTTACGCGCAAAAACGTTTCATTGATCTCTTCCTGTAATAACTTGCTGCCGGATGGATTTGAGGGCAATTTGTCACATTAGTAGAAACCTGACAATGTTTTTTTTTATAACCAAAATGAAAAAGCCTTAGTTGAAATTGGACTTTCAAGCTATCACTCTGCAATTGCATGCAAAACCAATGAATAATGATTTTCAAAAATATTTAGCATCTGCAAAAATGAAACAGTCTATTTATGGTTCCACTACAATATCCAGTTTTGAGATGGCACACACTTCCCATGGCAACTCATAGCTTTATTACTTTTTAGAAACAAATCATCCTGTAATTTTTTAACAAACATGTAAGATGGACATAAAGTTAAGAGCTAAGTGACCTTTAGTCAGAGGAATCTGCAATTATGAATAAACAGTGTAAAATAGAAAAGTTATATATAATGTTTTTAGATAAATCATATTTTATTCTTTTATTCATTTTTTTTTACCTGATGTCTTGTATATATACGTTGCGCTAAAACGTATGTAGAAAATAGCAAATATAATAAATCAATATTATGTATTGACAAGTGAATACATGATTATCATACAAAAAAAAAAAAATTATCATAAAGTGAGAAAGTGCTGCAATATCACCCAATGAACACAGATGAAAATTAAGTAAAGTAATTCTCATTAAGTGAAAAAGTACTAATATGCAATAAACGTCCAAGGTACAAAATTCCAAAGGATTGTTATTCCACAACAGAAATATATATAACAGTCCTTTCAAAAGTGCATATCAAACAAAACTTGGTGTCTTCAGTGAATCACCCATACCTCTGTGCATGCAAAATGGGGGCTTCCCAGATGTACTGACCCCTAATTAGAGAGGTCACCAAGTGCTTTATTTAGTATGCCAAAATAGGTGTATCATGTGGCAGATCGGAAAACAGCATCTCCAACTACTCACACAGATGGACATGGATATACATATGGTCATAAGGGAATAAAACACATGCTTCTCATAGTGTAGACGCTAAAATCAATATTTATTGAAAAAGAATTACACTTACAGACAGAAGTAAAAGATAAGCGTTGCAACATATTCACCAAACCACGTGGCACGCTGTAATTCCGGTATAGCAGTACGCGATGACATCACAGGGGAGGCTCCACCCGTGGAGCTATACTGGAATTACAGTGTTCCACGTGGTTTGGTGAATATGTTGCATGTGTGGAGTAGTTGGAGATGCTGTTGTCTGATCTGACGCATGATACTTTATAACACTGTATTTACTTAGAATTTAGGAGTTTTTTGTCTCATGGTGAACTAATTTATCACAAATATACAGTAATATAGTTAACAATTAGACCCTTTTAAAAGAATAAAGAAGTGGCATCATAAAACAAAGTGTCTACTGTGTGTATTGTTTACTACTGCACGCTTTTTTGAAGTATTGCAACCATTTAATGATCAAATTCACAAGGCATATTAATCAATTCATTTAATATTTTTTCCAGCAACCACAAGCCAATTTATCCCAGTCAAACAAAGCACCATGTCCTCTCAAACTCACAAAAAAACCACCACTGGTAATGCTTGTTTTTTCACAAAATGGTCTGTTGAGCTTCTTAATCATTGCACAATGGCAGTCATCATTCATTACTTCAGCATTTCTTTCTGCTTACATGCACACAATCCATCCATTGTAGTAAGAAAATATCACAGCTTGATTGCTGTCACGTGACTCAATCTGCTGCAGCACCCATGGTATGACTTTGCTGTCAGCTTTGCTTTTTGTACAAGAAAATGATGTTGACGTTGACACAGTGTCAATTATCCTACCATTTTCTCTATCCTTTCCAATATGAGGAAATGTAAATTTAAATGTGCATTTGTGCCTCCAGGATGAATATTTCTGCAGAAAAAAGTATACAGTTTTTTTTTTTTGCTTCCATAAACCACACCATTTGACTTTGAGGTAGACATATCAAAGCAAAGTTTGTTTGCAGAGCGTGCAAACATCTTTCCATATGTAGCATATCATATGCTTTATTAAGGCAGTGGAATGTCAAGGATGTGCAGTAACTTAAAGCAAACAATAAGAAGCAGCTAATTCAAATTGAATTAAGAACAATGACAACTATGAAAATTTACTTCTGATTGGATAATACAAGTTACCACATTTTGCTAATTGTTTTTAACCTCATCATGTAAGGGCCGCCATATTTTTGTGAAGCTATAGTGGACAAAGATGGTTAGCTCTTAGGTTATGTGTATTTAATGTTTATCATATAAAAAAAAAAAATCACATCGTAGCACTGATTTCCTTCCTTTGATGTATCTACCTCAATAGATTTCAGCAAGCATTTTTCATTGCAAGCGCAAGCATGTATCAGTGCAATTGAAATAGAGTAACTGAATGTGCTTTATTTTTTGTGGGGGTGGATTTCTTTTCAGCGTTTATTGGCATTCCTAATATTGTTACTACGCCGAAGAGCATTGTTAGGACTACAGTACAGAATCCCATGCCTGGTATAATATTCTTTATATTTTCAACGTAAAGTTATAAATTTTTGGCTGGCTTATGCCAGAATTATATGGAAATGATCGTATCCTCTTCTTTTATTTAATCCCTGTTTAAGATCCCTAATCCCTAATATCGCTAATTATATGAAGTTGTTTTTAATGAATATTCACTTTGATTTCTGTATACAAAAACTGTGTGTTCATGTTAGATTCTTTGGAGCTCAAGTTGTTTTACCGAAGAAATAGATGGACGAAGTTGATTTACTGACCAAATAGAAAATGCTCACTTAGCAAAATTAATAAGGGAAATATTTATACAGAACACAAAAATACTGTGAACAGTGGAAGAAAGCTGAAATGTAAACCTACACTCTTCTGTTGAATTCATCAGCCTTTATTTAAAATTCATTCACAGTATAGACAGGATAAAAGTAACAATAGAAAATGGAATGCAGCCCTTATTCTTCTGCTAATGTCACCAACCTTTTTTATAAATGCATCCATGGTACATTAAAAAAAAAATAATAATTTATTCGTGGCAAAAAATAGCAGTACATAAAACATAGTTATAAGACACAGTGCTCAGTGTATACATAAACACACAAACAATACTATAAAACCAATGTCAATCTAAAGACATCCGGATGCTGAATTTACAAATTGCCTACTTGGTGACACAGCAAAACTATACCGGGTCGATCTATAAATCCGTGACAAGTCCACATTGGGATAGGGGGCACAGTAGCTCAGCCCAACTGTCCATTCAGCAATAGAGCAAGACCAATGACCACACATGGAGTTTTCCAGCTCACCTTAAGTGTTAGTTCGTCATGGGAGCTGAGACAATCATATCCACATAGCCCATGATGGATAAGTCTGCTCAGGATTTGTATACTCAGTGTTGACCAACTCTTATACATTGATCAAGCCGGTGTCAGCCATGTGATTATATACTGCCGGGAAAACAATGATTGCATACCTAGGTTGAACTGGATTAAGATTATATTATATATGGACATTATTACCAGTCTTCCAGCCACCTTTATCCCGTCCAGCTTCTTTCCTTGAAACACTGTTGGTGATTTCGGGACTGTTGGTTGCTGTCCACTGTGGTATTAAACTCGCAGGGGGAAGTTCCCTCCCAAGCTAGTATTAGTTCCTATTCCACTGCTAATGGGCCCTGGGGCATGTGTGTATGTAAATCCTGCAGCACTGCTTTAATTGAACTATTGCCAGGCACAAGCGTGAATTCATATGATGCGTGTCCTGTGGGGAGTACTTACATACATTGTAATTAACGTCCGGACATCTTTAGATTGACATTGGTTTATAGTATTGTTTGTGTGTTTATGTATACACTGTGGGTATTGAGCACTGTGCCTTACAACTATTTTTTATGTACTGCTATTTTTTTGCCACAAATAAATAATTATCTTTTATGCAACAATTCCTGATACAAGCCTTGTTTGTTGTCGGACTAACCACTTGTATCATATAGGGGGCCTTACCCCCAGTATGCGACCTTGTTTTTTCAAACTTTAGGACTAATCTGTTTTAAAACTGAAATTGAGCCAACTTGATTACCTGTATTTATTGATATGTCAAATCTAGAGGGCTGTAGGAGAGTCATATAATCAATGTAGTAGTCTGTGCCACATACAGAAAGCACATTTATGTTCCAGCAGTCCTGGAGCAACTTCCCCTTTGATATAGTGATGACAGAGAGTCACTCACTCTCAGCACCTCCTTCATTCAGGAAATGTGTTGTAATTTTTGTTTCAGTGAATACAAGGAATTTTACTATTGGACAAGGTGGAGAGGAGGGGTTGATGTTGTCTCGCTCTACCTTTGTCCAATCAAAGAACTCTTTGTATTCACTGAAAAGTGTTTATTGTACCAGAGGAGAAGTCACTCCAATACTGCCATACCAGGAAAGTGCTTATTGTATATGGCACAGTCTACTAAAGTGATTTTGAGACTCCCCTGCAGTCCTTCAGGGTGATATATCAACAATTCAAGTAATCAAGTTGGCATAATGTACATTTTAGGAATAGATTACTCCTGGAGTTCTTTGTTCACTTATTTAGGTGAACCCTAGTCTATCATACAACTGCGTCTTGTCTGTGAGATTAGGTTGCATGAAAAAGTATATGGCCAGGTGCTTTGTGTTGTATTGTGTCTGAGGTAATAAACAGGGAACAACAAATTTAGAAATAGTTGTCAACAAAGGGTTACATTTCATACTGGACAAAAGATTGCAATGCGATGGATACAAAAGGATGCTATGGATAGCTGAGTCCTAAGAAAGGGAATTTAAACAAATATTTTATCAACATCTGTGAAGCATGTTATTATCATTAATTTGGGTTTTGTATAGTGAACAATATTTTTTTTATACGAGTCGTGGAAATAGTATGACCTTTTGATATATAGGGAGCAGCACAATATTCTATTATTTATATGTGGTGTAAATAAAAGACAGCAAATTCAGATGTGGGTCAAAATATGAAAGTTATGAAATATATAGAATACTTTTACAAAGCATCTAGTAAGAATAGTTTTAGGAGTAAGACTATTATTGTTCTTGAGATCCTCCATCCTGGAAGGAGGTTGATATCACCCTCACCTAGCAGGAGGAAGGGTGGGTACTCTATTCAACTACCACCCCCGATTTTTTTTTTTCTCTAATCTTTATGCTACTTTTCAGCAAGGGGGAGGGGGAACACATAGGGTGACTGAAATATTTTTCAGTGTGCGTGAAAATAAAAGACATTTTCTGGTAACTGTAATATTCCTAATTATTGTCCGACAAATCAGTATGGATTTTAAGTTTAATCTGGAGACACTTTTTACTATGCATGTATCCTATCAATAGACGCTCCCAAAGGTTTTATTTATTCTGATATGTTATTGTTAATAGCAGGAGCAATTCATGTAGTGTACTATATTCCTAAGTTTTATATCCATAAACAGTGTAAATTAAATACTGCACTTTATTAAACTATATTTTATTACCTTATTATTATTATATTTTATTACTATTTTTTATACAGTATCTGGCACTGTTCTCTATAAAAGACAAATTGTGATTTTCTTGTGGGACATATATTTTTTTAATCCTAAAAGTCAATATCAACTACTTCCAGGGCCCTACAGACCACATGTCTATAATGGGTGCACCAACAAAACAAGAAGTGTCTAGTTTCCTGGCTCTAATCCCATTCATTCCTAGCCCACGTGCTTTACTGTTTCTTAGTTGGACCACCTGTACCAGTTATTGGCCAATAAGGCGTGGGGCCAGGCCAGAGCCAGCAGTTCAAAAGAATATATCATACATCTTTTGTTTAATTACAATGTGGTATGCAGGACGGGGGGAGGAGCCCGAACATGGCGGCCGAGGAGAGCGTGAGGCACTAGCACTCTGCTAGGCTCCGCTTTCCATCCTTCCCAGGGACCCTCGTAAATAAAAAAATGAAGGGGCAGACTCACCGGAGTTAGGTGGGGGCCGAGCAGGAGAGGCCGGAGAGCAGGGGAGCTGAGTGGCCCGTGAAGAGAGGCAGGAGCCGGGTCAGCCGGGAGACGAGGAGACGCGGCGGGATCATGTGACAAGCCACGGAGGATCTCTGGGGAGGAGGTGAGACCGGCCGGCATCCCGAGCAGAGAGGGAAGTGCCGGCTCACTCCTGGCCTCGTTTCCCCGGCGTGCAGACTGGCCCTGGACCCTGGAAAACTGTGAGAAGCAGCCTGTAGCCTTGTGATGACCTCCAGGTGACCGAGAGACCAAAGGAGACCCGGAGGAATCCCCCTGGGACTGAGAAAGGCCCTCTACCCGACGACCAGAGCCTCTTACAAGTAAAGAGACGGGTGAGTGTGAGCGGCTGGGGCTTTTTACATACTGGAACATTGTGTGTGTACTATAATCTCCTGTGGCAGAGGGGAGAAAAAAAGGTGAAAAAGAGAGGGAGGGGGGGATTCCCAAGGGTCAAGAAGAGGTGGAGAAGAGAAGAGGAATAAGGAGACACAGAAAAGTAAAATAAAAGGAAAAATAGCAAGGCAAGGCTGGGTTAACAAGCCATAGACATTTGACTTACATTTGTATAAGGGGTCATAGAAGAAAACAAGACCCATAGAGGACATGAAGAATAAAGGAATTAAAGGAGCAGGACTCAAAGGGTCTCAAACGGGAACGATTAAGAAATATACTACTCAAGGAAATAGTACTCCAGAAAGGCCCCAAGATACTAGTGAAAAGGGTGAAATGGAAATCAGTCTGGGAAGTAACCCTAGATTATCACTGGACATGAATAGCAGCTGTAGTCAACAAACGGTGGAAAGGCTGGAGAAAAACGAACCTGAAGGTGAAGGTGAACTACATGTACCAAATAAAAAAGAGATGACAGAAATGTTTCAAAGTCTGGAGAAAATGATAAAGCAAGAAATGACATCTATTCGGAATGATTTGGGGCACCTGTTGCTGAGAGTGGAGGAAACAGTGGAGAAAGTTAAAAATCAGGCCCAAACCATTGTTAAACTAGAAAGGAAGATAATAAATATGGACTTTATTCAGAAAAAACTTCTTTATAGGATGGAGGTTCAAGAGAATAAAGAAAGAAGGAGTAATCTTAGGGTACGAGGAATCCCAGAGTCTGTAAAAGGGGAATCACTGTATGAACTAGTTAGTAAAATTCTAAACTCCATAATGGATAGAGCGGAATCAGAAGTGATTAATCTGGATGGAGTGTTCAGAACAGGAAAAGTTCAAACAGATCATGGGGAAGGAGAGACCGAGGGATACAGTGTTCAATTTCAAAAATCTGGGGACAAAGATAAGATTTGGAGGAAGAGTAAAGGAAGATCAATAATTAAAATATAGAGATTTAGATATCCAAATCTATGCGGACTTAACATCAGAGATCCTATGGAGAAGAAGATCCTTTGAGACCTTTATTGGAACAAATGAGAAAGCAGAAGGTGCAGTATAGATGGGGAACCCCAGAATGCCTAATTGGATGGAGAAACGGAGTCACAGCCTATCTGAGATTTCCAGAGGAACTGAGAGTCTTTTGTGAGAGATTGGACTTGCAAAGAATGGAAATAGAAGGATGGGAAGAAGAAAAAGGAGAATTAGAAGATATAAGAAAAGAGGACTGGCTGGAAGAAGAGGGGGCGGTTTGGGGCGGGGGAGAGAAGGAGGGGAGAAATAGAGACTCGATTTTTTTTTTTTTCTTCCACGCACCTCATTTCTCCCTTCCACGCTCTTTTTAGAGAGAGGTAAACTGGGGAGGATGGAGGAGAGGTGAGCCGCCCATGGGCGGAGGTCAACCCCAAAGTCTTAAATCAAGGGTGGGAATGATCCCACAAATGATTAGTAGGCACTTTACAAGCCTAAAAAGGGATGGGGGAAGGGGGGGAGGGAGGGGACGAGAGTTGGGTGGGAGGGAGGGAGGGAGGGGAGGAGGTATTGGGTCAATACTCTACATGACAGAAGGGATAAAGAGGAAGAGGCAATCTGGAAGAAAGATGGAGGTAATCGGGAATGATGGAAGAAATACAGTTTATAACCTATAATGTGAACGGGTTGAGTTGTCCAGGGAAGAGATTTAGGTTGTTTAATGAGTTTACATCATAGGGCTACGTCAGTGGTATTTTTACAGGAGACGCATTTTGAGATAGAGGCAAACGTGAAATTGAAATCCAAACACTACCCAAATGGTACTATGCAGATTCTCCAATTAAAAGAGCAAAAGGGGTTGCAATAGGTTTTGCAAAGAATAGGAGATTTGAGCTAGAGGATAGAAGAACCGACCCGGAGGGGAGGTTTTTATTCTTAAAAAGGTAGACTCCAGGGGATTGAGTGTACTTTAGCCAATATATACTGCCCTAATAAAAACCCGGAGATGTATATGAAGGGTCTGCTGAAAAAATTAATGGAATTTAAAAAAGGGCGCCTGATAGTAGCTGGAGACCTAACTTAAATTTCTGTATGGACCCACAAAAGGATAATACCTCTTCCGTGCAAAGAGAGGGGAGTAGGTCTCTGAGAGCTCTGAAAAAGTGATCCATGAATATCAACTAGTGGACACTTGGAGAATAAAGCATATGAAAGACAGAGACTATACCTTCTTCTCTAATGCACATGAGATATACTCGAGATTAGATTACATCTTAATAGACCATCAACTTATAGATCATCTGGTTAAAATTGATATAGAGACAAGGACGTTCTCGGACCATGCTCCGGTTGTAATGAAAATGGGATGGGGAAGAAGGTGGACGGGAGGATTAGGGTGGAGGTTAAATGAGGGTCTTCTTCTGGATGAGGATGTAGTTCAGAAAATCGAGAAAAGAGATTAAAGTATACTTTAAGGAGAATGAAACAGAGGACGTATCGATAGCTACAGTCTGGGAAAGTCATAAGGTATTCATAAGAGGAATCTTGATTGCGGCGGGAGCAAAGAAGAAAAAGGAAAGAAGAGAGAGGGTCAGTGGGCTCTTAAAAGAAATATTGGACTTGGAGCAGATCCATAAGAAGAAAATAACAAAAGATACGAGACAGAGGTTATCGGATAAAAAAGATGAGCTAGAGAGGTTGATGGATGAGGAGAAAGAGAAGAGTATACAACAGGGTTTTGAACGAGAGATATAGATGGGGGGACAGACCAGGAAGATATCTAATGAGAGCTTTGAATAAAAAGAAAAATAGGAACTATATAGAAAAGATAAAAAGTTCAAAGGGGAGTTGGTCCACTCAAATAAAGAGATTATTAAAGTGTTTACGGAGTATTTACAAAAAGTTATATAATATTAGCCCCCAAGGCCCCCTAAAAGAAGCCCAAGAGGGAATTAATGAAAAAAAGATGACATACTTAAAAAATGCGGGATTACCAAAACTAAGTGAAGCACAGTTTGAACTCCCTAGACGCAGAAATCTCCCAGGAAGAAATTAAAATAGCATTAAGAAGCACAGGGGGGGGAAAAAGCCCAGGCCCGGATGGATATACAGTTAAGTACTATAAGAAATTTAGTGAAGTACTGCTACCCAAGTTGGAGAAATATATGAATGCTCTGGGAGGTGGGATGGAAGTGAGGAGAGAATCCCTACAGGTCCATGTAGTGCTTATTCACAAGGAGGGAAAAGATCCATCTCAGTGCTCCAGCTATAGACCTATCTCATTATTGAACACAGACACTAAACTGTATGCAAAGGTGTTAGCAAACAGGTTGAGGGATCTGATGCCTGAATGGATTCATGGAGACCAGGTGGGCTTTGTACCGGGGAGAGAAGGTAGAGATAACGGCTTGAGAACCCTGATGCTTATTCAGAAAAGTAGAAAGGGGAAAGCCCCGGTGGTGCTCTTGTCAATTGATGCAGAAAAGGCATTTGATAGAGTGGACTGGGGCTTTATGATGGACAACTTTAAAGTGCTGGGGATAGGTGAGAGAATGCGAGAGTGGATAAGTAAATTATATAGGGAGCCTACTACAATCATCACGGTAAATGGGGAGAGATCAGAACCCATCGGAATGTCTAATGGTACAAGACAGGGCTGTCCACTGTCCCCTCTGCTATATGTATTGTCACTCGAACCTCTGTTGTCAATAATAAGAAACAGTGGATCGGTAAAGGGAATTCAGATAGAATCCATAGAACATAGAGTAGCGGCCTTTGCGGACGACTTATTGTTCTATGTGGGGAATCCCCGAATAACTCTCCCAAATATAATGAAGATTCTGAAGGAGTATGGTGAACTATCAAATTTAAAAATTAATCCAACGAAAACAGAGATCCTGAATATTAATATACCAAAGAATGAAAAAGAAAAACTACAAAAAGAATTCCCCTTTATATGGAGAGAAAAAGAGATAAAATACCTAGGAATAAAACTCACTGCCTCATCTAAGCATTTGTATAGATTAAATTATATCTCTTTAATAAATGAGATCAGGGAAGACTTAAAAAGACTAGAAGGAGGAAATCCATCCTGGATAGGACGTATAAACCTAGTCAAAATGGTAATTATGCCTAAAATACTGTATAGATTTCAAATGGTACCAATTAAAATTCCAGAAGCCTTCTTTAAGATAATGAAAAAAATGTTAACAAGATATATTTGGAAGAATAAAAAACCTAGAATAGCATATGAAACATTGGGTAGGACTAAAGAGAAAGGGGGATTGGGCCTACCAGATGTCAAGAGATACTATAAAGCAGTGGTTTTAGCAAGAATATATGACTGGACATTTAACCATAAGGGGAAAAGCTGGGTAACAATTGAAAATGATCTTAGTGGCAATAGATTGAGTCAGATAATATGGGTTCCACCACAGTTCAGGGGAATTAAAGAAAGCACAAGTATCTACACTTTAAATGTCTTTAGGGTATGGGACAATTTACACAAAAACATGAAATGGGAATTTAACTCAATATTAATGCCTCTCACAAATACTGAGTACTTCCCCCCCGGGACAGGATAAGATATCAGGGAGATGGTTTAGAAAGGAGGATACCCAATTGAGAGATGTTTGGTGGAGGGAGAATTGAGATCACTTAAAGAGTTAATAGAGAAGAAGGGAGATATTTTTATTAGAATAGATGAGTGGAAATATCATCAATTGAAAAGTTTTATTGGAAACCTACCGAAACCCCTGAGAATAAAACGGGAGTGGAATATGTTTGAAAGGTTGTTAGAGACACGAAGGGATGGGAAGCACGGTATCTCAAAAGTGTATAGAATACTCACAGAATTAGACACAAACACAAAGTTTAATTTTTATGACAAAATGGGAAAGGGATATGGGAGTTGGGTTTTGATGAAGATAGACAGAGAAAGATGTTTAGATTGATACACGATAATGTTAGTATGAGAGAGGTTGAGGTTAATTATAAGTGTGTGACACGATGGCATATATACACCGAGTGTAGAGCACAAGATGAATGGGGAAAACTCAAATATGTGTTGGAGAGGATGTGGAGAGATAGGCACGGTGTTTCACATATGGTGGGAATGTCCGAAAATCCAGGCTTTTTGGAAGATAATAGTTAAATTAATTGAAAGAAATAACTGGAATTGACATAGGGTTAGACCCAACAACGTGCCTCCTACACAATGTGGAGACATCTGTAAATAAATATAAAGATTCAGGTATTTGGTACTTCTTGAATGCGGCGAAAGGGTTGATACCCAAGTTTTGGCGGAAAGCTGAGGTACCGAAGGAGGTAGACTGGATTAATAGAGTAAACCAGATAGGTAGAATGGAAAGATCATACCATATGCAAGAAGATAGGATGAGAGTTTATTCCAAGAGATGGGAAAAGTGGGAAAGAGCAGGATTGAAAGAGAAATATAGGAAGATATGAACTAGGATGTTAGCAAAAAAAAATTAATAAGCCTCAAGAGATTAGAAAGGGCTAGAGTCTGCAGAGGGGGAGGAGGGGGGAGGATGGGGGGCGGGAGGGGGGGTAGTGGGACGGGTAGTGGGACGGGAGGGAAAAGAGTTTTTTAGTAAGGGAAAGGTAGAAAGGTTATATAATTGTCTATTTGTATGAGAATTATTTCCCTTTTTGGGTTTTTGTATTAATATGAAAAATTTTATAAATATTTAAATTAAAAAAAAAAAAAAAGATGTGGTATGCAGGCACATTACAGTTCCTGATATTAATAGTAAGAATTTAATAAAATATCACCATAGACTTTTTTTTTAAGCTTATCTGTTTTCTTTAACAGGATAGGTATTTTCATGCTCCTGAGTGAACCTTGCGCACTCTTTTTCACACACTTATAATTCCATCTTCAGTTATACTGCCTAGAAGCTCAATATAAATTCTATTCTGTCTTTCAGTTCCAAATGAAATTTTATCAGTTCACCCAAAACCTGTCCCTAGCACTGAAGCACCAGAATCTGAAGCTGGTAAAATCATTATGTGCATTTTAATGGATACAATTTATGCTTTCTATGACAGAAGTCTTCCCTTTTCTAGCAGGCTTCATTTCTTATTTGTTTCAATTTTATTTCAGACAGCACACTGCCAGAGTCTAAAATAATTACAACAGATGCACCTCATACATATGAACCAGAAAAATCTACTTTAGGTAATATATGCTCTGAAGCCAGAATATATATTTAATTTAGAGCCTAATATTGTTAACCTGAAACATTCATCTTAGATCCTAGTATTTTCCATATGAATTTTCCATTTTTGTTCAGAGTTTTTTTTTTTAAGGTTTTTTTTTTGGTGGCTCCATCAACAATTTTGAAAACTCAGAGGTTACCTCTACAGTGACTCTTTGCCGTCCCTTAGTACACTTCTTTTTTACAACAAAACAATAACCAAACTCCAGGCACACCTCTGCAATCTCGCTAGAAGAGTACCAGACAGTTAAATTATTCTGTGACAATAATGGCACACCTGGCAATCCACTACAGAAGAAGTAGATCTCTGCCCTACAATTTTAAATTACATATGCAGTACAATCAAATATGATGGTGGCCCAGCTGCTTAGATATAGTGGTGCTCTAATGTGCTGAGTCATGTAATGAGGTAAAGGAATACCATGACAAGGGTACCACAGAGGTATTCTTTAGGGTTTTTTTTAGCAGGAGTCTAATTCAAAGTTTTTTTCTAGATTGATGTGGCCCTCTTAAGCGCCTGTTAAATCTCTTGAATACCACTAAGTACAAGTATACTCAAATCCTGATAATATGGTTTAAGTACAAATTACTAGTTAACTGTGCATGCTAGTTCTTCAGTGAGATAGAAATAGTGCAAAAACATGCCCCTTAGATGTTGAACTGTTGTTGCCATAGTAATATTTATGGGAACTTTAAATCATCATAAGCCTTTGTTTGCAGCCTCCGATGATCGCATCGTTGTTCAGAAGCACACATCAACATCCAAGTCCCATACCACGATTGGTAAAGTCATTTTATGATTTGGGCTTATTAGTTAAAATTGGGTCTTTGACTTTTTTTTGAGACACGTTTTTACTAAAGGATATAACAATTGCTGTAGTATTGCCATAAGAAAAGCATTGTCCAATGCACATAAAACACACCTATGTGGTAAAATGTGGTAAAATATTTTTGCTTCAATGGTAGCAAATAAACAAAACAGATATGTTTGGGCTATAAGTGCAGAAAAGGATTTACTTGCTTTGAAACCAGCCTTCTCAATAAGTGTAAAAAAAATAAACATTTCAGTTTTTAAAGCTTTGGATTCTGGGGAATGCTTGATTCTGGAGAACCGCATTGGTGATTATGTCCAAATGAATGAGAATGAATTGTCCTACATAACCAGAGTAAATATTAATATGCAAGTATATATTGTTTTCTAATCTTAGCGTATCGGACTAGAACCACATCTTTTACAACTAACACTCCCACTACTTCCCAAAGGACACAATCGACTCTGGGTAACTGTTTCTGTATAGTTTGCAATACTGTAGAAGCACATAGAGTATCTGCTATGGCTGCAAATATTTTGCTTGCAGTAAGGGCTGTGCTTACTTACTCGTCTATACATTCTCCAAAGGCTAGCAAGATGATTTGTATTCATTGCATATCTTAAACCTTCTTTTAATGCCTTTTCTGCTTATATATAGTAGGCTTATCGTAACAGAATATTCAAACTTGCTACGTATTACAGTTTCATTGATTTTGCATGATGCCTAAATACATTTTTTTGCTTGATGAGAGCAGCCTTAGAGACTAAGGATGAGATGACCTGAACATCTATAAAAAGAGTTTTTTATTAACTAAAATTGCCATTATTTTACAGCATCAAAGAGAGAACGGGTTTCTCCTGCACAACCTAAAATTCCATTGCCAAAAAAGACACAACCTACAACTGGTATAGTAAAGGCATTAATTGTTGAGTTTATGCAGCATGTTCTTCAACAGTAACAGTGTGATTTTCCTCAATCAAAAAGCAGTCAAAAACCAACATAAAGGGATAATTGAAATACAACAATATTGCTGGACTAAAGTCCAGCCTTGAAGGAGCCATCACTAAGTTACTGTACCTTTTTTAAAATACTGGTGTCCTTGCTGCCATTCTGACCCTTTAATACTTTGCGTCACTGACCTGGAAGAATATGCATATACGCAAATTAGATTTTACCCTAAATTTTCTGGTCTGCTCCATACATTTGTTATGACAGATTTAATTTAAACGTAAGTAAGAATAATGATATAATTGAATTGCCTGTCCACCAATAAAACAATAATAAATTACCAGCTTCCTATATAATTATTCATACTTTTAATGGAAATAATTTCAAATAACAATGAACCCTATATATGAATATGGTCACCTGCCTCATATTTTTATCCTTATTTACACTGGTTTCTTAACCCCATAAAAAGATAATTTTTTCCTTTTGAGATTTGAAAATCCATGAAACCTCATAGCAGTACAAGTGGTAGATGGACATAATGATGGTATTCCTGATCGCCCAGTACCAATTAATTATTACCAGTAAGGGTCAATAACAGGCATAGTGAGTAACTTGTCATCAGTGTGCACAGAAAAAGTCTGCAGCAGGGGTCAATGGTCTTTCCTTTCAATGTATAGCAATATCCCAAAGGTAAAGAATACTGAACTGAAGAAAACAAACAGTGACAGTCAGCAACTTTCAGGAGGTGATCATTATTACAATACCTATGTTTGGTTTAGAAAGATGGTAACATAAAAAAGTATTAAAATACATTGTGGCATACGCCATTCAACTAGATTTGTTGTGAATAATTCCATTCAGAAAATATGCCAGCTAAATTCATAATGTTACTTTATTATTTTAACTCATTTATATATATCTCATTTGTTGCGTGGTATACATAATGCCTAAGTTTTGTTCCAGCTGAAGACCAGCATCTTTCCTAGAGACACGTAGAATTTTGTATTAACAAATACTTCTACTTCATTCAGTTAAGGAAACACAACTACTACATTACCTGAAGAAACAACCACCAGTGTGTGTAAATAAACTTACGTAATATCACATTTATATTCTTTTTATTCATGTGTATTAGGTTATATGCTTTTTCTTCTAGGTATATGTATTTTTCTAAGAACAACATTTTTGTTAAAAGAGAGCTACACTCCTCATTTTGTTTTGCAGACCGAGTATTGTCTTATCTTCCTCTGCCAGGTTGTAAAGTCACCAGGGATGATTTTAAATCAATATTGCATGACTTGGTTACTCAGATTTGGAATGACTTAATCTTAAAATAATCTAAATCGTATAGTTTGAGTGCTCACTTTTTTATTTACAGTTCCTGTCAAAACTCAAAAAATCCCCCACAAAAAGGACCACTCAACTGTGGGCCCAACCCCACAAACTGGTAATAATTTTTTTTTGTTCACATTTTCACAACAGCTTTTTTTTTCAGATTAGCTTGCCTTTATTGGAGTGAAATGTATTCCACAAACACAGTGCTAACAATGCTGCTTTGTTCTACACAGATCTTAAAACATCTAATCTTTTCCCTCCTGACATTTTAGGATCTGACATTTTTGATACCACTGGGTAAAGAGAACATTTGCTTTGGCAACTACTCCATGCATGATGAGGAATGTTTTTTTTGGGGGGAGGGGGTTTTCTCTGTGAACTATTTTGCTTTACTACAGCACACTTTTTAGTGCCATATGGAAGTGGTTAACGGGTACACGATTTCTTCCTTAAGTAACTAAAGGAATAACCTCTAAAATACTTGCTTGTATTTACCTAACTATGCTCTCATCTTGTTGCACTAAAGTTGGCTCTTGGATGACAGTTTGCTACACCTGGAGCATATTAATATATGTGTTTTTGCCAAAAACATGTTGTGTAATTAGACAGATTTTCGCACATCCTAAACTTCATACAGTTTTCACTGGTGTTCCTATAACCAAAGCATACTATACAAGCTCCAACCAACCACGTTATATTACAATATCATTTATGCAGATTTGCATATTCTTGTTTTAATAATCTTGTGTTAGATTGTAGAGTGGTATGCTTTCTGGCCATGACTTTAAAGCATCAAGGTATTAAAGCAGTTTCTTTCCAGACACTTGTGGGTGAGACTTCCTGTAAATTTAAAAATGAGTTTATGGACTCAATAAAAAAAAAAGAAAAAAAAAGACATGTTTGATCTTGTGTAACTTTGCATGTCTTTTTAGTAAATGACAAACAGAAAACAGCCAAAGTCCAGCTCTCATTTTGTAATCTGCATAAATCTGCTTGGATGTTTGTAACCACACAGACTTTACAGCAATTAGGGTCTGATTTTCCAGTGTAGCTGCTTCCAGGATCTGTCAGCAATGTGAGAGATATAGTGCTTGCTTACATGCAATTTCAGTCTACCCTTAAATGTGCACTTGCATGGGTGAGCACCTTAAATGTTAGCAACGCAAGTGATTTTGCCCTCACCCCTCCTCCAGCTCAGGGAGCTCCTATCTCCAGCATATGCTTACCTGAATTGGGAAGCTGAAGCTCTCTTTGTACAAAGTGCACTTAGTGGTCCCACTTTTCGATATGTTATTACTAAATAAGTGCCATCAGCTCATAAAAGATCAAGGCCTTTTGTGCATGTGCACTAAACAGCTAGAACATGCCCAAAGTTGGGCTGGTGCATGTACACTGACTATTGGTGTAACTAAACTATAGCAACCCTGCAGTTATGGATATGCAGAGAACTGACTCTAAATTTCAATAAAGCAAGTAAAGTATGGAATATACAGGATATCACTCTGCAACCCTATTAGTACATCTTAAGTTTGACCTGTTACCTCCCTTGATAAGGTTCTCCTTGAATAATACATAATAGTAATAATAATAATTGTACAATAATGGACTTGGGTACAATCAGCCTGCCCATAGATGGTTTGAATCCTTGTGGGTCCCTGCTGAACCAGTCAAGATTCAAACTAACATGGTCAGCTGTACCAGCTAGGCAGAAAAAAACAAATTGGCAATTCACCTTAAATACAGAAGGGTTTTTTTTTTGCACACATTTGCACACATTTACATATATGTGTTAGCCACAGTGCCTGCGTCAATGCTTCTCTGTTGTACTGCTGACCTAACGCTTTCATTTTCAGAGTCTCCAAAGTTGGTGCACATATAGCAGTGGATTAATTAAGGACAGGCTTCCCTAGAGGGAGCCAACCCCTCCTTAAAGGCACAGGGATACACAGAGCACCCAGCAAGAGCACAATGGCAGCTGAAGGCTGTTGTTATGTTGGGGGGATGAGGGTTCCTACTCACTTCACACTGGAATTCAGAGGTTTTTCTTTAGGTTCCAGGGTCACTCTGAAAAAGGGACAATTTATAATGGTACTTTCTGGCATCTTGTGCTTCCCATTATTTAGTGGGACATACTGCAAATTTAAACAGGTTTCTGGTTTAAGGTTCTTCAAAAGAGTTGCTAGCAAGTCCAATTTAAGACATTAATAATGTAGGTGTGTTTTTTTCCCCTCTTAACTTGTTTACCAGCAACTATGTACAGTACAATATTTTTAGTCTCTCCAGTAATCCAGTAAATACAAGGAACTGCAGACAATGTGACTATACTGTGACAATGGTGTTTCAAGCTAAAGAAAAATCCCATAATACAATTTTAAAATTCTACCAGATATATTGGTGGAATTTATATCAGTGAGTTAAATTGCCCAAATAAAGATCCCAACTGAGATGCCTAGGATTTGTTCTTCTCAGTATTTAGCAGCCTGATCTGCAGTGTCCATATCTTAAAAAATATTTGTTTGATGTAGATGATGTAGAGAACAATAGAAATAACTGTTCAAGAGACGAACCACATTCTAAAACAATCACATCTTCAGGTTCTCTCTGCAGATATCCACTAGACAGAAAAGTCAGTGGGAGTCCCAAGAAGTTGTGATTGTTAGCAGAGAAAGCCTAAAACCTGGCTGTGTGTGATGCTTTCATGTGGACACTTTTAAAGGTTCTTATGATTGTACACACTCTAAAAACTGATAAATAAACACAGATTTGTGTAAAGTGAGAGAAAGTGAAAGAAAATTCAACCTGAATTTTAAAAGCGGAGTTCCACCCAAAAGGGGAAGTTCCACTTTAAGCCTTTGTTACCCGCTCCCCATTAAGGATTGGCACCTTTGGGGAGCGGGAGGGAGCGGGTACCCAAATTTGATAGGTACCCGCTCCCACTTCCGCTGTGATCGCCTAAGGAGATCGGAAGTAGAAGTTGTCCTGCCCCCTCCCTCCCCGTAGTCTTCTGGAACATGTGACAGGTCCCAGAAGACTACGGGACCATTCACAAAGAGCAGCACTTCTCGCTGCAAGCTGTCACAGCCAGGTGCCCACACTGAAGATGCCGGCACCAGGGAGAGAAGACGGCCATGAGGACACCGCTGGACCAAGGGACAGGTAAATGTCTGTATTTTAAAAGTCAGCTGCTACAGTTTTTGTAGCTGCTGACTTTTATTTTTGGTTTTCAGCTGGAGCTCCGCTTTAATGTGTGAACCCATGTTCAATTCAAACATTTAATGTGCAGGGTATTTTGAGAAAATAAAGTTTCTTCCTTAAAGAAATGGATGTTTGGAGCAAGTTAACATATTTTAATTAATTTCCAGTCCAGGTTTACTTCACCTCACTTTACCTGCTATTACATTTTAGTAAATTGGGCCTTTAAGGAGAGATTTTGACAATTTTTCAACAATCACACCATGTCAGAACTTGTTTATTTGCACTTTATCTAAGCATAAACCTAATATGATGGTGTAGGTTAGGAAACAAATACTATTTTCACCATACTTTTGGAAATTGATTGTTCTCACCTATACGTGTGTGGCAGGGAGAATTATCTCCATTCAAATCTATCTGAGGTGAAGCAGATCTGCAGAGATATAGTGGTTTTCTTTTAAGAAAAGTACATAGTGTCAAAACACCTATGTCGCCTTGCCATTGCTATTTCTCACCTCCAAACACTTCCTTTTCTTACTTGACATGGCTCAAAGTGCACATATCCAAAGAGTTATTTTGAGCAATTTCCTAAAAAGTGTTGCTTTTCTGCATCATGTTTAATAGACATCTAGGCACCTGCTATCATCTAATAATGTGTGAGTCATCTAGCCAAATGTCAAAAGTTATTGCAACTGTTTTCAGAACTGAACTTTTTGACCTGTTTCTGGTTCACTTCAACCTGAAAAATTTGCATTAGAAAATGTTAGCATGCAATTACCTTTTTCAAGCAATATGAGTTACATTTGAGCAGACATCCTTTCTTTTTTATGTGTACATGTTTATGAAAAGCAACTCAACATGGTAAATGGGCTTTTGCAATCAAGTGTAATATTTAGGATAACTTTTTATTTTCTGGTGCCAGGTAAAACTGAAAAAGATGTTTCTCCTAAACCCCACAAAACATCTCAAAGTCCACCAACAACTGCTGGTAAATTTTATAAGCACTTTGATTGGAAAAACAACAAACATTTCTTTTATAATTTACTGTTTCCCCTGTTACTCATGGTTTCTGTTATATTCTGTGCAGTGCCAAAACCAGCACAAACTGCAAAGATGCCAATAAAACCGATTATTCATATATTTTCGGATCCAGCACTTCCAAGTGGTAAAGTGGCCTGATTTTAAATTGGCTTGTTTTTCAGCAATCATAAGCCAAAAGTGCAGACAGCTATGCATGAATGCTTTTAAATGATTTAGCTGATTTGACTTGTAGCTACAGTATTCTCTGCAGCAATTCTTTTCTTTTTTTGCATACACAACTGTTGAATGGAAGCTTTTGCAGATAAAGTGCACTTTTTTAACTTAAACTTACCATTCAGTTCTAAGATAAGACAGGACAGTTCATCACCTGCTTTGTTAATCATCCTGGCTTATTCAATATGACAATGCAAACAGTAATGAATATATGCAAAGTGCATTTCTCATAACAGCCAATCAGATTCAAATTTATTATAGTGAAATCAAGGATTGAAAAAGAAAAACACACTGAAGAAAAAAAAAACTATTTTATTGAGGATTCTCTTGACCATACAAATCAGCTCCATAGGTGTTTAGGAATGCTCTTTCATTTGTCAAGCGAAACCCTTTCATAGCCACACTATCTCATAAAACTACAGTAGCTCTTAAATATTTCTTACTCTAACCTCCACATTCTCTTCTTTTTTCCTGGATATCATCTGACAAGTTGTTTCTATTAAAAACTGACATATTAAATCATTTTCTACTTACAACACTTGTACTGTGGTGTTATGCTGCAGGTTTGTGAGTCCTTAAACTATGTATGAGGCCCTCTTGCCCAGTGTAGATTAAAGCTTAAAGGGGGTGCACAACTAACCAGGCTGTAAATGTAGTAACATATATGTGGTAGGTAGTGTTCACAAAATGTAATTAGACGGGAGGGAGGGCTTTTATAAGATGATCAGATAAACATGGTGACTTTGGGAACAGCATTGGGATGATTGTTGGGAATCATAGTTAATGCTGTCAATTAAGGGTTTCCAGCAAGCCCATGGGCACTGTGAACATTGATGCATGTAAATGAACACACAACCTTTTATGTGTTAATGCTTATTATTTTAAGGTGTCCAATTCAGTTTGAATAGACTCCCCTTCACAAGAAAAGTTTTTTTGCACTAATTTTTCCGCGCAGGACACCACACTGTGAATGAAAACATTTGCAGGTACATTTTGCCTATAGCACGGATGCATTTGGTTCTACTATGTAGCATATGTGTATTGGAGTGTCATTTAGAACAAAAATTGTTTTATAGAATTTTATAGAATTACTGAAAATTAAGGTAAAGCATCTTTTAAACGTTGGATTTTGGTAATGAATGTTTACCATGTGTTACCGCAATGAAAGGTGTGGAGCCAGCATTAAAATTACAAACCCCTTCATATGTGTGTTTGTATCAGGACTGCCAAAGTACCTGAATCAAGGGGTCAATGGGAGACTTATTCTGCAAACTCTAGTTCAGCAAACAAAATGGGTTAAATAGATGCAATCACAAGGCTTGGAAAAAGGGGAAGGGCTCTTGAAATGTATTGCCCACCACTGCACTGCTCTCTCTTCCCTTCACTGTTTTCCTGAGAATACACGTAGTACTCAGCTGACAGCTGACAGTGATCGGCTTCAGTGCACCTGTGCATGTTTGCAAATGACATTTCTCCACTTGCATTGCATCTGAGCCCCTACATTTGGATTGTGCTTTGCCCTGTTCTGTGATTTCTGTGCATACCCCTGATAGCCACAGTGTAGGTGGATATTGTTTTTAGTTGTCTTTGATTTTAACCACTTCTGTACTCTTTTATCTACTGTTTGTCAAACGTCTTAAACTATATATCAACTTAGATTTGACAAATGATTACTTCTAATAACCTAATGATCATTTTCAATTTGTCCTAATCATTCCATTAAAACCCTTTGCTCTTTAGAGTTGCAAATGATCTGTTAGTGGCAAAATATATCACTGTTCACTTTGTAAGTGGAGTTTATTGAATGAGAAGCAGCTCTGCTGACTTTCACCATCCAATCATGTGCAAGCGAAATTAAATTTTTTACATTTTGTTTACACACAATTGGGTATGCAACATGAAAATTAACTGTATTCACAAAGGTCTGAAGTAAATTATCTTGCAAAGTGAACAGCCTTTTTGCTTTAAGAAATCAACTTCTCTGTCCATCCTTTGATGCTGTTGAGCACCTATTGCTGCCCCTAATTCTTGTTTCTTTTCCTGAATGCCCTTCTAGCTTTCTGAAAAAATGCATATACAGTGGATATAAAAAGTCTACACACCTCTGTTAAAATATCAGGTTTCTGGGATGTAAAAAAATGAGACAAAGATAAATCATTTCAGAACTTTTTCCACCTTTATTGTAACCTATAAACTGTACAACTCAGTTGAACAACAAACTGAAATCCTTTAGGTGGAGGGAAGTATAAATAAAAAAAAATAAATAATATGGTTGCATAATTGTGCACACCCTTAAACTAATACTTTGTTGAAGCACCTTTTGATTTTATTACAGCACCCTGACTTTTTGGGTATGAGTCTATCAGCATGGCACATCTTGACTTGGCAATATTGGCCCACTTTTCCTTGCAAAAACACTCGAAATCTGTCACATTGCGAGGGTGTCTCCTGTGCACAGCATTCTTCAGATCACCCCACAGATTTTTGATCGGATTCAGGTCTGGGTTCTGATTGGGCCATTCCAAAACTTTAATCTTCTGGTGAAGCCATTCCTTTGTTGATTTCGATGTATGCTTTGGGACGTTGCCATGCTGAAAGATGAAGTTTCCCTTCATGTTCAGCTTTCTAGCAGAAGCCTGAAGGTTTTGTGCCAATATTGACTGGTATTTGGAACTGTTCATAATTCCCTCTACCTTGACTTTTCTTCCAGCTGAAGACAAACAGCCCCAAAGCATGATGCTGCCACCACCATGCTTCACTGGGGGTATGGTGTTCTTTTGGTGATGTGCAGTGTTGTTTTTGTGCCAAACATATCTTTTAGAATTATGGCCAAAAAGTTCAACCTTGGTTTCATCAGATCATAACACATTTTCCCACATGCTTTTGGGAGACTTCAGATGTGTTTTTGCAAAATTTAGCCCGGGTTGGATGTTTTTCTTTGTAAGAAAAGCCTTCCCTCTTGCCACTCTACCACATAGCCCAGACATATGAAGAATACTGACATTTTTTGCTGGCTGATAGCTAAAAAGAGTGGGAAATTTGAGTAGAGAGTGAAAAAGTTTTACTTTTGACTGATGGTGATTGCTGGTGCTTGTAGTTCAAAATTGATATTCAAGCAAGCACTATTTAGATTAAATAAATAAATAAATAGATACAGTAAAGCGGCTTGCAAAAGTCTGGTGAAAGGAGCAGTTATTTCTTACCAGCAGCAAAAGAAATTTATACAGATAATCCATGAATCAATTGCATTGGTGGATATCCAGCGTTGCTAAGTTGTTGTGAAGCCGGGTGGAGCTAACACCAAGGAGCTATTCTATTTTGCTGTGAGGGTCCCACAGAGAGGTCTGGAGTCCGTTTCCAGGGTGTAACGAGTACCTGAGAAGTGCCTTATCCCCATCGGTTCCTAGATGACCACTAGTGCCCTCCTGAATACCATTTATATGCACATTTTTGAGTGTGCGTCCGGTGAGTGCAAGAACACCTCTTTTCTCTTATCCACAAGAAGTCACCAGCACCTTATTTTTTTGAATCTTGTGAGGAGCGACCAATACCCCCATACACTGGATGATATAAGCAAGTTTTTAAGGAAAAATCATTTGTGGACTGTTATACGTTTATATTGTGCGTTTATGTCACTGATTTTCGTCCATATAGGACGACACACTATTGTCACTTTGTTGCGCTCTCTGTTAGCACTTTTCACTTGTCACTTTATACTGTTATTCATATCTGATATATTATCATTATTATTTTTAGCGCTGCAATTTTGATATGCTTGTAGTTGTTTTATTTTCCTCTTTGGGTCTTGCTAAAGGCTTTTATTTTTTTAAATCACTTTTTCTGTCACTTTTTAAAAAGCATTTTTTTTCTTTCTTTCCTCCTTGTCCCCGTTCAGTCTGCTAATTAAGGGGAGGGGTTAATTGGTCACAGGTGATACAGGTACTATATAACTTGCTGTAGAGCTCACTCTGAACTTGCCTGTATTTTACTTGCTGCACCTTTGACTAAGTGGACATTTGATAAATGGAGTTAAAAAAACGGAGTTGAAAACAGGAGATTATAACAGGAGTCTACTAACCTGTAAGTGACAACTGATTCTTCCTATTAATATTGTAACTGGGATAATGTGTGCAAGTAGGCTTGAAGGTTTTGTGCACAATGTGCCTCATGTATGCAGCAATGGAGCAACAGCTCCAGGATGGATACCGCTGCGACAGATGTGAGCGGGTTGCCCTTCTGGAAACTCTCGTTAGAAATCTGGAGGAGCAAGTTCCAACACTGGGCAGAACCGACAACCTTGAATGGGGTCTTCTGCTCTCTGAGCAGGTAGCTAATGGGATTGAGGTGGAGGGTGGAGGGGCTAATCAGGATTATCAGGTAGGAAGATGGCTTACTGTAACGAGAGGGAGTGGTAGGGGCTCATAGAAAAGGAAGGCTGGCCCTGGGTTTGTGCACCCAAACAGATTTGCCAAGTTGGGTGAAGATGTGGGGGTGGCAAGCTCAGGGGTGGCAGCTGAGGATGTCACTGCTATCCCTAACAGCCGGGAGGGCAGACCACCTGGGAGGGGTGGTGAGGGTAGTGCAGGAAGGCCTAGACAGCCGGTGGTAGTATGGGATTCTATAATCAAAAGGACTGATAGAATGATTTGTCGCCAGGATCGCCTCAACCGAATGGTTTGCTATCTCCCTGGTGCCAGGGTTCGGCATGTGGTGGACAGGGCTGAAAAATTACTGGGAGGGGCTGGGTATGACCCAGCTATCTTGGTCCATGTTGGAACCAATGACAGAATGCATGGAAGGTGGAGGCTCCTTATGAATAAATTTAAAGAACTAGGCTGCAAGTTGAAGGGAAGGACCTCCAAGGTGACATTCTCTTAAATATACCTGTGCCATGCGCAACTCAGGAAAGAC